TCCATTGAATTTGTTTTCTCATGCAGCCATATCTGTCCCTGTTTTGGTTGGCTTTGCCTGGCTTTTGATCTGGCAAACACACTGAGTTGTGGGTTAATCTTACGTATACTGTTGGCTCCTGCACAATGCCTTGTTTGTTTGGGGAATATACTGCTAGATTTATGCAGCAGTTTCTCACCTGCTATTTCTGTACTGAAGATAGTTTCATTCAAGGCCCACCCTATCGATGTGACTACTTTATTGTGAGCTATTCCTAAAATGTAAACCCGCCACTAAAATAGATGCGTTTTTTTTTAAATTACAATATGCCTGGCTTTGACGACGCATGACCATAGGGGTGGTGGGGGAAGTAGGGAGAAATTGCTTGCCGTCATTTATGGATGACCCCCCCCCCCTACGGTTTTACAAAAAAAAACTGACAGCCTTTTTACTTTCTCGTATACGGAGTATAGAGAAAGTATTGTAATTGTGCAAAACATCGAAATCGAGATTTTCACAAATCTCGAAGTTTTACACCTCCCTGGGTCGGAAAAACTTAATTTTACAATCGTGTCTGTGAACACGATAACTTGAGTACCGTTTCAGCTAGGTTGACGAAATTTCATAAATAAGTATTATATTAACTTTGTAGTTCTGTATCAACTTTTCAGAGAATTCCGGTAAGCGGAATTGAAATTTCTTCTACATTCGGTTTTTCAAAAGCCTATGACTTGAGTACTGTTTCTGATAGATAGATAGATAAAATTTCACATATAATTTTTAACTTGATTCCTCGGTCTTTCTTTATAAAGTACTAATGTTCCGCACTTGTATACACAGATTATTTGCTGTTTACTTGGTGCACTATTCTTTTTCCTACGAGATTCTATTCTATTTTATAAAGTTTAAGTATTTAAACATTGATTTTAAATCATGTCTATATCATGAGTTGCCATACCCATTAGTATTTTTTAAGAATATTTGAGACAGTTTAGGGGGAGAAACTCCTGCTTTTTTTTCCGTAGATCCTGTATGTAGCGGCAGTTGTATTGAGTTGTTTTTTTTACGAGACTTTAATACTCAGCGGAACAAGAAAATGTAACTGTTTCTGCAACCCTTGAGCTCAGCCTCGCCATTCTTTGATCTAGCTAGTCATCCATTTTAACCACATTCAACCCCCCCCCCCTCCATTTTACAATACACTCCGAGCACCACTGTTTTTTCCACACTTCAGCCTTTTTTTGTCACATGCATTAAAAACACTACTGCATCTACCTTATGAGTCGTAGTTCTTGATACGTTTTCTCATAATTATGAAATAGCTTAATGTAACAAAGAGAACAGATTTTGACGTATTAGATTCTCAATTTTAAAGTTACCAAGTTTTCCATAAATAAAATGTATAGCAAGATTATTGAAACTTGTGACAGATGTATTTATATTTAGCTTTTTCTCCATTTTATGTTCAAGTAGTGCATAATTTTCTTCCCAGCATTTTATCATAACTGAAGCCATATTTTTTTTTAAACTTGAAGAGTGCTTGAAGAATATATGACTCGGTGGAATGTAAAGCCGATTTTCGAATGAGAGGGTCGAGTTAGGGAGATTATGGGTTCCACAGCTCTGTCAATAATCATTGTTTGCTTGCCGTTCATTTAAATAACAAAATGCTTCGATTGTGTTTGGTAGAAGAGAGTTGTAGTACGGCGTTGTAATAAAGTTCAGTGCACAGTGTTCGGCTAATTTCAGTTATATGTTTTTGAAGAATATATGACTCGGTGGAATGTAAAGCCGATTTTCGAATGAGAGGGTCGAGTTAAGGAGATTATGGATTCCACAGCTCTGTCAATAATCATTGTTTGCTTGCCGTTCATTTAAATAACAAAATGCTTCGATTGTGTTTGGTGAAAGAGAGTTGTAATACGGCGTTGTAATAAAGTTCAGTGCACAGTGTTCGGCTAATTTCAGTTTATGTTTTTGAGTCAACGTCTCGACATGTCGTAGGCTTCATTATTTCGTCTCGTGTGTTTTTTTTTTCTTGAATTACACATTTAAGGGCAATCTGTCTTGTCAGTCCACGTTTAAATCATTGTAAAGTCGCACAGTTTTGTTAGTTTGTCTTGTCGCTTTTAATTGTCAAGTTTTGCATACCTAAATAATGTAAAAACTAGCATTTAAAAAATAAGTGTGAGATTAGCAAGACGCTGTCCAATATTTCAATCAGTATTTTACCAACCAAAGAATAAAGTTATCTCAAAATGTACAGTGACAAACGGTTAAGAAGAAAACGACGCAAAGATGTTGACCCGTTCAAAAGAACCCCGTCATTACTACTACCGATAAAACATCTTCAGTCAATTGGGCTCCCGACAAAACGACCAGTTTATATAAGAACAGGCAGTCGACAGAAATGCTCGTGGCTAAAAGAATGGAATGATTTTGACCGATCATTTTTGTCCCAAGCCCTGGGTATGCTGAAAGGATCTTTAGTCACATAATGAGCTGTATCCGCTCCTTCTACGGGGGAGGTGACACAACCCAACAGAAATGGCACATGACTGTCTTTTGTTGAGGAAATTGTCTTGCTTCTTTCTGCTGTGAAATTAGGGTTAATGTTGATTCAAATTTCACTTAACTTTGGTGGCTATAGATTGAAACAAATGGTGTCATAGTTTGTTTCTGTATCTTTAAAAAAAAAAACGTCAGTAAACAGTTTAAAAAAACCATTGGCTGTAGCTGTGAAATAGCTTGTCATAGAGTCGTGTAACCCGTGCCGCTGACAAGATAAAGGCCACTTCACTCTGGCAGCTTAAAGATGTGTAAATCATTCGACAATGTTTTTGTTGCGGCGTGCATATTTTTTTTAAACATTCATCGGTTTTTGCTTATTTTTGGGTAGGGGTTTTATTAAAACTGTTGTTTTTAAATGGTAATGGTAGTTGCGTAGGTTTTGGATACCTAAATTGGCTTCTGGGGCATTCTTGGTGCGGCTTGCCATATGATACCTTTACATGCTAAAGCAAGAGAAGCAGGTGAATACTGTCTAGGTTGAGGAAGAAATTATCTGACGCTGGGAAAACCTGAGTAGAGAAGTTGCCTGGTGTGGCCTAGCTTGGTAGTTTAGTGTCTTGTGGTACACATGACAAAAATTTGACCAAAACTAACTCATCGGTCCTCTTTCTTACACTAGTACATGACACTGTGTCCTAGTGTTGGTGTCTTGTGATACAATAAACATGACCAAAATTAACTCATCTGTCCTCTTTCTTACACTAGTCCATGACACTGTGTCCTAGTTCTATTGTCTTGTGATACACACAATAAACATGACCAAAACTAACTCATCTGTCTTCTTTCTTACACTAGTACATGACACTGTGTCCTAGTTCTATTGTCTTGTGATACAATAAACATGACCAAAACTAACTCATCTGTCCACTTTCTTACACCAGTCCATGACACTGTGTCCTAGTGTTGGTGTCTTGTGATACACACAATAAACATGACCAAAACTAACTCATCTGTCCACTTTCTTACACCAGTCCATGACACTGTGTCCTAGTTCTATTGTCTTGTGATACAATAAACATGCCCAGAACTAACTCATCTGTCCACTTTCTTACACCAGTCCATGACACTGTGTCCTAGTGTTGGTGTCTTGTGATACAATAAACATGACCAAAACTGACTCATCTGTCCACTTTCTTACACCAGTCCATGACACTGTGTCCTAGTGTTGGTGTCTTGTGATACAATAAACATGACCAAAACTGACTCATCTGTCCACTTTCTTACACCAGTCCATGACACTGTGTCCTAGTTCTATTGTCTTGTGATACACACAATAAACATGACCAAAACTAACTCATCTGTCCTCTTTCTTACCCCAGTCCATGACACTGTGTCCTAGTGTTGGTGTCTTGTGATACAATAAACATGACCAAAACTAACTCATCTGTCCTCTTTCTTACACCAGTCCATGACACTGTGTCCTAGTGTTGGTGTCTTGTGATACAATAAACATGACCAAAACTAACTCATCTGTCCTCTTTCTTACACTAGTACATGACACTGTGTCCTAGTTCTATTGTCTTGTGATGCACACAATAAATATGACCAGAACTGACTCATCTGTCCACTTTCTTACACTAGTACATGACACTGTGTCCTAGTTCTATTGTCTTGTGATGCACACAATAAATATGACCAGAACTAACTCATCTGTCCTCTTTCTTACACCAGTCCATGACACTGTGTCCTAGTTCTATTGTCTTGTGATGCACACAATTAATATGACCAGAACTGACTCATCTGTCCACTTTCTTACACCAGTCCATGACACTGTGTCCTAGTTCTATTGTCTTGTGATACACACAATTAATATGACCAGAACTGACTCATCTCTCCACTTCTGTCCTTAGCCTCAGCTGTGCATATTAGTTGTATCCATTTACAGAAAATTCGTTATTATTTAAAAATTGTTCCATTTAACAATGAGCCAGTATATTTTAACCAAGGGAGGTAAATCACGATTAAACTCTCATCTATCAATAGCTTCCCTTTTTTTTATTGATTTGTTCTTTCTCCGTTCATCTGATTTATTAAGCAAGCCACGCGATGGTAACAAGAGAAAAACCAACGCCTGACAATGGTGTTTGTGTTGGGTATTTACTTAACTGTTGACCAATATTTTAGTCAGTCAACGCCTTAAGTTAAATATGGCAAGTAGGGTTGACGTGTTGCTAATGCATTCTCACCGGTTATGTTTTATTTATTTAGTTTTGAGTTCAGTTTACTTAGTTTACTGTAGGATTGTACGTTACTTGTTGCAGGAAAAAGCTGTCGATTAAGTTATTTTATGTGTTTGTGTACTGTAGTTGTCGAATTGCTATGCCATGAAACTACGTGTTTCTTTCCTAGAGCCAGGGGACAGCTAAATTATCGGCTGACTTTAATAATGTTAGGTGTTATACTTATTGTATGTGTTTGACGAATGTTGAAATGATACTTGTTTCTTTCAGAGCCAAGATGCAGCGAAAGTATCGGCTCCCTTAAGTCCACACCACTCTGGATCACGGCGGAAAGTTAGTCGCGCCTTGGGTAAGTCGACAACAATGTTACGCTATAACATGCTTCTGTGGTTTGTGTAGTCTTCTTGCTTTGGATGTAGCTAGAGTTGAATATCCCACACGTCTACTTCTTTCATTACTACATCGATGTCCTGTGTTTGACAGCAAGGAATAGTGTTATGTCCTCAAAATTACTATTTTCTCAAGTATTAGACTTCCGTATGTCTTGCTATACCACACTATTGTATCTTGATGTAAATAATATTGTATTCTCAACTTGTTTTCTTGCGTTTTTTATGGTCTTGTTCTACTACAGCAATGTGATTTGTTGTACATTCATGTAAGTCTAGATGCAGATACCATTAGTGTCCTCAACCTATTTTCTCATGTTCTAGAGCAGGGGTCTCCAAACTTTTCAGTCCGAGGGCCGCATTGACTATCAAATTTCAGTTCGGGGGCCAGTTTCTTCTAGGCATGTCTTTGATTTTTCTGGGCAAAGTTCCTCAGCCATCACCAAAAAAACAGTTTTTCCGTGGACAAAAAGATCCCCGCGGGCCGGATGAGAGGGCATCGCGGGCCGCATGCGGCCCGCGGGCCGTAGTTTGGAGACCCCTGTTCTAGAGGTTCTTATTATACCGCAGCAATGTGAATTGTTGTAAGTCAAGATGTGATAGCATTGTAGGTCCTCAACCTATTTTCTCATTTACTATATGTTCGTATTATACTGCAGCAATGTGAATTGTTGTAAGTCAAGATGTGATAGCATTGTAGGTCCTCGCCGTAACTACTTCTATCACGTTCAACTATACAAACGGTACCACCTGGCACTTCAGCGATTCACCACAGCAGTCACTGAAGTCAGAAGAATTCTCTAGCTGGCCGTGGATTTGAAGAGTGCTTGTATAGGAATAAACACCTGATCGGTGCAGATGTATTTTCAAACCCCGTTATAAATTTTCATAGGCACATAACCACTTTTTATCGATAGTCAAACTGGTTAAAGCACTTGAGCGACGTCAAAAGGTATTCTAGGACTTGTTTTGTGCTGCAGAATTTCCCATCGTAAAACACCAATGCCTTGGCGATTTTTTGCGATTCTCTTTTCAAACCGTAATTTTCAGAGGTGGCGTGTAAGCTGTTATTTATTGTCCATACATCAATGTTTCATATCAGTAATTTGTATGTGTGAATACGTGACGTCGCTTCATAAAGCACCCAATATATCTTTATATGTAAGCTTAAGAGGTTTTTAACGGAATCTATAGCTTATAACCTATGCACAAATATTTTATTTTTGCTTAGGATATTAAAGATTATATATCTCGGAGAACTTGTGTCAGTATATATGAGTGTCATAATTCTGACGGTTGAAGTTTATACCATAGTATACTTGAGATCAGCAGTAGAATTGTATTCTATTGCTATTTGCTAGTTTTTACGTTTGTTTTGTTGAGTAATTTATTGTCGTTTCCCAAAAGATATATACATTTAAAAAGAAAATGAATGGGTAAAATCTCTGCCTGTCAGTATAGTTAAGATGCTGTGGATGGTCGTATTTTACTTTATAATCTCATAGTTGTCTATGTCTACTTCTCAACTAGTATTTTTACTAAAATAGATGTAGACAAGGAATTAAAGTGCTTTTACGGTATAAAAATTTTCTTTCTTTGAAAAAAAAATTCTTAAAACAAAATGTTTACAGTATTAGTAAATATTACTTTAAACAAAATATTATTGGGGGATACTGAAGAGCGAAGTAAGCTGCAACATCCTTCTTAGCAGATATTATTTTTCATGGGGCTTTGCTTGCGTATATCCTCGTTAAACAGATAAAATGTTTACGGAGATTCCGAATTTGTAAGAGATTAGCGTATAACGATAATAATAAGATGGGCAATGTTTTCTCCCTAAACTCACTGGACCCTAGAGCTTTAACCACTGACCATACACGGCATGTGTACTGTCGTGTAAAAGCCCTTAACATTAGCATACTGTAGGCTCCTTTAGCACACTCTAGTGCACCTCTAATGATTAGTCTGCACCGATGAGGACACGCTGAACTTAAGCTCCCAGAACTGGAGATCCCCTTTGATAAATAGGAGACGACTAAGGCAGGAATTTTAACTGCTCCCCCTACCATTTAATTTTGGCTTTAGTAAATAGATCGTATCTAAATCAAGTAGAAGAAGAAATAAACGATACTGCCGGTTTTAAAGATATACCGCCAGCCCAAAGGCACTGTGAATGTTTGATATCTTGGTCATACTTGAGTGTTTTATTGCTGGCAATTGTCCCAGTAGAATCCATAGCCCAGGCCGGTTCTAATAACTTCATACAGATGATTGCAGCGTTGGAGGCCTTCATAAATGCTGGGTTTACAGCCGGACCAAATGAATGCGGGGGGAAACTGCTGCCTTTCAGGCTAGCCAAATTTAACGACGCCACCTTATTAAATCGATCCCTCCCCCAATACCCTGCCCGACCTTTATGTCGTTTTGTCTCCTTCCAATACCAAGTTCCATAAACTGAAATGTATTAAATGTGATTTGGAGTAACTTGGTATTTCAGCGTGAACACTGCGGTTATGTGAACATGTTATTATATTGGGTGTTAGCTTGTGCTCGGCCTTTTCACACTATAAATTAGGTTAGACTATCTTGGGTTAGGTTAGCTTGTCCAGCGGTCCCTCTAACAGAAATTGAAAGAGATCGTGTGCAACAGGTATTTTGTGTGTGCGGTCTTCTAAAAGTTTTATAAAATGAAGTATGCATTTTACAAAATGACTGCCGGCGGTTAAAAACTACAGCGCGGCCGCGCAACCGCGAAGCTTAGAGGGAACATAGCCTGTCACCCCATTAGGACAAAGATCGCCGAAACTTTAAGACATCACGACTCAGGTAGTTCCACAAAGTAATCCTCTCTAGATCTCCACGTCTCCAGATTTCGCTCAGTCTGCATGTTATACTTTTGCTCTGTGTATTATAGATGAGGCCCTTTTTTGGAGTAAAGTTATTGCCGCAATTTACTTTAATATCGGCACAATGTCTTCCCTAAAGCATTAAGATAATCAGATTTATTAGAAAACCTCTGCCTGTTAATAACAGGTCGCTCTAGGGTAACTGATTATAACACGGCCAGTAATCAGTGTTTCTTCCAGACTTTTTCTCCGAAGGGGGGGGGGGGCACTTGAAATTTTCGGGGGGGGGGGGGCGCGGACACTGTTAAAAGTATATATTTTCTATATAAATTATATAAATTTAATTTCGTTCGTGGGGGGGGGGGGGGCGGTAAAAAATTTTTCGAAGAGATGCCTGGAAGAAACTCTGCCAGTAATCGTCCCCGTCTTAGCTTGAAGGCTAACGGTATTTTTTTTTAGTAATGTGTTAAGACGTTAGTTTTTGTCGTAGATTTATATGAATACAAGAACACGTTGTCAGTACAAGTGTCATGCCCAAACATTCCGAACACCTTTATTTAGCTGGTCACTTTACAAAGACGTTTAAAGACAATATCGGAAACTTCTTCAATTTACTACAGTGGTTTATATTGTGTAATTTAGTAGGAATCTTAATTAACGAACTAAATTTAGATGAAACGCTTCGAAATAACACTGGCTGTTGTATCGTGATATTAATAGCACCAGTTCAGCTGTGTGTTGGTTAAAAAAATTAATGTTTGTGTCTGAAATGTTTCCTTGCCTTAGAAGTTATCACAGGTAAAACGGAGTAGGTAGTCTGATGTTTGCTAACTAGCGTGTGAGGCGAGGTGTATCTGAGGATTTCTGTTATGTCCACCACATGTAAACCCTCTCACATTCTCAGCGTCTGGCCCCCCGCCCCCCATGAATGTGCTAGCCAGGGAGCAATCAAAGAGAATTGTTGTTGCATTTTCCTTCCTCGCTCCAGTGGTGATACACCCGTGGGAAAGATATACTTGCTAATTAATAATTATTACTAGCTTTTTCTGTGATCACAATACTTGGTCAAATAGTTTCACTCGGTTGCTATCAAAATTAATTAAGTAATTATAGTTATTGAATACCAAATATAATAGACCATATTAAGAACTTTTTTTTCAAAGTGTTTTTTTCTTTCTTACGTAAACCTTCAACGGCGTAGTCCTGTTCTGTTCTTTACCAGACACCGTTATTATAAAGGTGTAATATTTGATTTACATTAAGTGTGTAACATTTTTGTATGATAAAACTGCTTTAGCATGCCAGAATGAAATTGCTAGTCGTTTTTACACGAGTTTCTTTCCTGTATTCCTTTCCTCTAGGTTTAAAAACTATTAGTTTAATTGCGTTATCTTACTGTCAAAACAGTACCGGTTTCCGAAGTGCATTTAAAAAAAACATATTTTACTAGCTTGTTGGTGTTCCAGTGTTTAATTGGTGCGTTGGCTTGCTTGTATTTTTGTTCAAGTGGGTTTTGTTTTAGCATACGTTTGTGCCAATGTGTCTGCCTAAGTTTTGGTGTATGTCAGTTGCATGCTTGTGTTTGCGTGTTTATGAAGCTTCCTATGTGTACTTGTGCTGTGTCCTTGTATGTTGGGGTTTTTTTTTTGGGGGGGGGGGGGTATCTGTATTTGCTTCTACATAATCTCTTGGTGTATGCTGGTATTTGTTTGCATATATATATATATGTTCCCTTGTGTGTGTTCGTTTGTGTTTATGTTGTCCCTTGTGTTCCTGTGTTTTCCTATCAACACAGACTTTTAGAACAAGGCGTGTATGTGTAGGTCAACCCCCCCCCCCCCCACCCACAAAGACAAGCAACAAACCCACACACATACGTTTAAGACAACCTGTGTATGTGATAATCTGACCCCACGTCGAACGTGCGACGTACCCACCCGTGCCCTCATCAACACGACATTTACCAACAAACTCCTTCCACCCCCGCCCGTTGAAATGCTAATCGAGCTGAATCACGGGGACACAAGTCATCCACGGCTGGACGCCTCCTGAAAGTGCTGGCCCTGTACAGCCTCGTGACTGGAACAAATCCAGCAGAAGATTCCATTACCCCTTCTATCGTGTTATCTTTACCTGTGCCCATACTACCATGCCGCCATTAAACTACACCGATTTATTTGAAGACCCTGAATGAAAAGAAAATGACAGTTCCACTTGTGTGTCGAGGTTTCGGCTTTTCATATTACAAACCGTTTGAAAAATAGTTCACGCTTTCCACTCTGCTCACATACGCTTTGATAAGATCGCAATTTGGCTCCACGCCAGTGCTGACTCTACTGCTCTGTACGGCCTGTGATTCGTACCTTGAACGTGTTTGGAGAAAATGGCATTAACTCCGGCATATTGAATATAAATGTGATATTCTTTTTCACGTGGTGGAGGTGTGATGTGTCTGCATGGTAGAGTGAAAAGCTTAGGCTTTTATCGACCATAGTCTTCATTTGTGTATACAGTACAAGGTAGACTATGTACGTAAACGTTTTTTATATGTTTAGTTCCGGAGTGTGCAACATCGGACTGCGGAAGTATTCACTTAATTTGTGGCACCGCGGGAATTTTAGTTTAAATAATAGATGTGTGTGTTGTGTGGTGTCTTAAAGAATATGTCCGGGTGTTGTGTGCTGTCTTAAAGAATATGTCCGGGTGTTGTGTGGTGTCTTTAAGAATATGTCCGGGTCTCGTGTGGTGTATTTAGAATAGACCCGTGTCGTGTCTTAAAGAATAGACCCGTGTGTTGTGTGCTTTCTCAGTGAGTGAAACACATTATCAGTACTTGCTAGAGAAGTCTACACTGTTGGATTAATATACTCTTCACACGTCTTGCAGAACACTTGGTATCTTGTTCACAAATTACAAGTGCATTTATGTTTCACTTGCACTTCCCTTTTGTTAAAAATATTAAGTTGAATTGAATATCTATTCGGAAAACAATACATGCATGTCAGTTAAATTAATGGTGAATGTTATCTCCCGTAAAATGGCGTGTAACTCTGGAGCATTGTCGATTTGCTACATGATGCATGAGCAAATAATTGTTGACTGGTATCGAGGAATAAAAAATGAACTTGGGCTTGAAGTCGATCTCCATTGACTTGCCGTAAAAACTCTAGCGCGAGCCGCCCGCTGCTCAATAGGGACTGTTAGCATTAGTAGGCGACCGTTCTTGGTCGCGCCGTGCAGTCAAAGGCAACAAGTGGGCCTGCCAAACGGTTAGCGTTAAGGAAATAGGAGCCATCGTTTAGGCCACGGTTCAACTATAAATACCTGAGTGTCAGGGCGGGGAGGAATCGATCGCTGTGCCGGTGTTGTTTGCTTGACCTGGCTACAGGGCTCGGGGTTAAGACAAATTTTCAATATTTGAATACTTATAAGTTGATCAACAGGTATGGAAGTGGTTGGTTAGGGGGGGGGGGGGCATTTTTAGAGAGACATAGGGTACACGGTGGGGCATAGCCAATATGGAGGGTTAAAGGGAATCTACACACACACAAAAACGGCGAATATATTATAGGGGAACGTGGGCAATATGGAGGAACTTGTGGAATATAGAGGAACTTATGGAATATAAAGGATCTGTGGGAGTATAGAGGAACTTAGGGAATATTGAGACTTAAGGACTATTGACGGACGTGGTATGGAGGGACGTGGGGAACGAAGAGTAACATGGGGGAAATATGGAGGAACTCAGTATTGAGACTGAGGCTTTCTTTGATAACCTGCACATGTCAACTACGTAGTATACGTCGTTTATAAATCAGCAGAGCTGCCTTGTGTATGCCAAAGCCTTGAGAAACATGTACACTATCTATTTATTACTCCCTTATCTTTGCTGACCCTTAACTGAAGATTTAACGAAAAATGCTATACAGTGCAATACAAATCTGCTGCCTTTTCCTTGTAGTAAGGGTTTGCTTGCTTTTTTGTAGCCTATACTTACGTATATGAACACTATCTGATCTTGATTGACAGCGTTTAACTCATATGACCAATATACAACAACATATTGCGAATAAAACACAGGTGTGTGCAGAAAGAGCAAAAGCGTGGGTACAAAATATTTTTTGTGTGCGCTATTCACTTAATTGGTTACTAGGTTACATGTATTTTTAAAAAAAATATTCATAGCGGGTGAAAAATAGTACGCAGCCGCCCAGCTTAGTGTGAACAATGGTTGTATGTTTGATTGTTTCTTTTAGATGAAATCAACTTTGAAAATGGTGCAGTTGAGGTAGCGGGTACATCAAAAAAGATAGGCCACCGCGTGGATCACACCTCAAGGACATCGGCCCGTGCACGCGACCCCGTCCGTGTTGTAAATCACGACCACCATGGCCCCAGGGAGGAGAGTCCAAAGAGAGTTGACTTCTCCAAGACGCATCAGCTTAGAGAGGTAATCTCTTAGGGCACTTTGAGTATTTGTGGTAACCGCTGCGACCAGAAGTTTGTGAATTGAAATGCCAAAGCTTATTTTGTTTTTCTTATCTCAGGACTGTACTTGTGCAGGTGGGGGATGGAGGTGGTCCTCTAATATTTGATTAACTTTTAGTTTTTTATCAAGATTTTTATTTTGTTTTGAAATTGATTGACAATGCTGGTGATTGTGTTTTAAGTTTTTATATTTTATAATGCCACTTATATTGTATTCGTATTCATACTACCATCTGGTTGTACTGTTTTCAATTTTGAACACACAGGTGAACTGGGATGGTACCTATCAAGACAGCTTGGCATACCAGACAGAGTTCCCGGGCAACACCAACACCACCAACTCAACCATCACCAACAGCAGGGACATACGTGAGACGGACATTCATTTCCTCAACTTCGCCCACCACCCCACCTCGGCGGTGCTCACCTCCAACGTGATACCCCCCAGCAGTCATCTCGCCACCTCACCGCCTTTCGCCCCGCCGCCTTCTGCCTCGAACTCCATTTCCAACTGTCATTTATTTCTCCCTCCCTCCTCCCCGGCCACCTCATCCTCATCTTTCACCTACACCTCCGTGTCGTCGTCCTCCACCTCCAACAACACAGACCCACCCTCTGACGTGCGGTGGTTAAACGCCACCACCACCACCAAGAAACCACCCAAAACTAATTCGGTGCAGTCTGTGAATCGCGTTGGACTTGCTGGGAAATCCACAGCCTCGAAAAACCCGGGGCCAAAACTGACTCACGTTGAACTGCAGACAGTTGGGCCAGCTCGGGCGGGCCATCAACAGACACACCCGGGCCATCAACAGACACACCCAGGCCATCAACAGACACACCCAGGCCATCAGCAGACTCACCCAGGCCATCAGCAGACTCACCCAGGCCACCAACAGACACATCCGGCCGGGCCGTCGTTAACAGAACAGCGGCACCAAGAACTTTTCCAGGTGAGGAAACACGTGGAGGAGAAATGGACGGGGAAATCCCAGGATAAGGCGACGAAAGACAGGACCAGATCAAAGACTTTGGAGGATCTAAAACGTGCCACTGCTAGTATGGATTCCAGACAAGCAGAGGAGGCACCCCCGGGTGGGGCAGAGGGGTACAGTAGGACAGACGTCAACAGCCCCAGACGACCAAGACCTGTAAAAATGTCCATCACAGCGGACTTAAAAGAAGACGGTAGGTACATTGTGGTCCACTATATTATGGTCCTTTTTGTTTAGGTCCAGTTCATTATGGTCTTTGTTCTTTACATTGTGGTCCAGTAAATAATGATTATTGTCTCTTAAATTGTGGTCCAGTAAATTATGGTCCCTGTCTTTTACATTGTGGTCCAGTAAAGTATGGTCCCTATCTTTTACATTGTGGTCCAGTAAATTATAGTCCTTGTCTGTTACTGTGTGGTTCAGTACAATTTAATCCTTTTTCTTTCTATCATGGTCCTTGTCCTTTACACTGTATTCCGATAACAGACAGATCAGCATCGTTTGTAAAACCTAATGGCACGGATTACACCTATTGATTGATTTCTGACTGGTTACATTGCTGCATCATGTGTTACATTTGTAACATCGTCCCTTCCTAATTAGCTTGGTGTAAAAGACAGTATTTGATAATTAAGCTTCTACTGTTTGATGTGAAATAGGTGGATTGAATAAACTTTTGAAAGTTGGTTGTCAGAATGAAACGGTCACAGATCAAGATGGTCAGTGTATGACCCATCTACATGAAATAGACAATAAAGATGCTACAACATTGATAAGTAGGGCGGAGGAGGCGTGGGGGAAGGGGGGGACTGATCCCCACACATAGATCCGCCTATGAAAATATATGACACAGACCAAGGCGTGATTTTTTTTTAACCTCACTTGACTGCTTATTCGTTAATGTGGCGAAGACATTGTCGTTCCCCGTTTTTTGGACCTATTAGTGTGTGGCTGCTAAATAGCTACGGTATAGAATGACGGCCTATCGATTGGGTAGACCCCACAACACCCCCAGGTGCCGGGGTCTCTAGAAGGCAGGGGTATCGTCTTGCAAGTTTTTTGTGTTGTTGTATTGTCTCGAGGGAAAATATTGATCCTTGGCCGAGCCGACATGTTTGTAGGGCGGGGAGGTAAAGCGTGGCTTCAAGAGCATGTCGTCGTCGCCCCACCGTGCAGGTTGACGGCCGTGGCAAAACATCCCCGCCCCACCCCCCACACAATGTTGGGCTGACGGTTGGTAATGTGAGAAAGAAAACAAGAGACTGGCGACAATTAATCAGACGGGAAGCGTGCTCCAATGTACCAAGACGAGTTTGAAAGTTTATTAGGTGTTGTGTGTGTTGACTTGGGGAAAGAATGGGTGTACGCCTAGTACTAACAAGGTCTCGTGCCGGTTGAGGGTGGAGGCGGGCATACATATCGTCATCAAATTTTGGTCCATTTACTCCCCCCCCCCCCTTTCATCACTGACGCACGTCACTAAATGCATATATCGCCATCACGTTCAGTGTATCTTTCAGACATTTAATCTTCTTGGTGAAGGGTAGGACACTAGTACAAATACATATTTATTATATAAATTATATTTTGTTTGGGGGGGGTGCACTTAAGCCCCCACCAAAGAGATGCCTGAAAGAAACTCTGATCACGTCCCTGCTTCCCTTCCCCTCCCCCTTGAAAAGTAAGATGCTTCTTCCCCCTATTCTATGTGGTGCTTAAAAGATATTTGTCTCCCTTTATTTCTAACCTGTAACATTATTATCAGATAGAAAGATTTACGGACTCGGATCATGCTGAAAAACTCCCATTTATGAAAGTAGTGAATCAAATAATAATGTTGTTGTTTATAAATGTCGGTAAGATAGCGTGAGCCCAGTTTATGTATAAGTGTCATCACCATGCGAGTTCAGTTTGTTTACCTAAGTCTGCGCCGTACGGAGTCTATGTACAAATCAGAGACGTCAGCTGTGTACTAAGTCTAGGCTACAAGTTACAAGACTAGAGACCAATGAATGTATCAGGCATGTTGGGTCTTAGTGGGATAACTAATATTTATATGCCAAGAATATGATCTCAGTAAACTTGACCCCCTTACCTGTCTTTCTTCTTTTGAAGGAAAAAAAAAACATTTATCGCCCATGGAAATAAGACATCGAGATGTACCATAAGCGTTAAACAGATTTCTATTGTTGTAAGCGATAATCGTGTCGCACTAGATGGAACTAAATGTAGAATACATATATTAGTTTGGAAGGAGAAAGTGGAGTTTTTAAATTACCTCACCACGGAACAAACACTGGGATAAAATCGCTTAAAGGTTGACAGAGGGGAGCCTTTGTGGTTGGGCAAGTTATCAGAAAGACTGCGGGAGTTTGGCCGTCCATGCCCAGAAGTTTGTCCATCTTGTGCCTAGTGTTATATGTGACTCAGCGAGAGGCCTGTTGTCACGAGAAGTGGCTTGATGTCATCTCCAGGAGTGCGCCGTTCTTATGTCGTCACTGTCCAATGTCCAGTCTGTGATGTGACTCAGCGAGAGACCTGTATATCGGACACCATGATGTCATAACAAGTGGCTTGATGTCATCCCCAGGAGTGCGCCGTTCTATGTCGTCACTATCCAATGTCCAGTCTGTGTTATATATAACTCAGCGAGAGGCCTGTAGATCGGACACCATGTTGTCACGAGAAGTGGCTTGATGTCATCCCCAGGAGTGCGCCGTTCTATGTCGTCACTATCCAATGTCCAGTCTGTGATGTGACTCAGCGAGAGACCTGTATATCGGACACCATGTTGTCACGAGAAGTGGCTTGATGTCGTCTCCAGAAGTGCGCCGTCGTATGGCGTTACCGAGGCTTAATGAATAAGCTTGGAGCGCCGCCTTTAGTGTGTAATCCCTCATTCTACACATGTCATGTGCACGGAGGGAAGCTGCTTCACCGCTGTGAGCGTCGTTTAGCGTTAGTCCACCATCCCACTGAGCTTAACAATATATTACCTAGATCAATCAATTTTAATTTAATTTTAATTATTACGTCGTTGTTGATTTTAATTATTTTTTTAATTTTATTTTGCGTTTAAAATATTTTTAATTATGAAGACTCCTGGAATAAAAAATTATTTATAGGCAAGTTTATGTTATAGGTTAAGTCTTTACTTTGAGGAATATTTTCCGATTACTAGGTAATAAAATAGAAAATACCCCCACCCCAACCTGCTTACACACTCACACCACACACACGCGCGCAAATACACACACACACTGGCCTTTTCCCTGACGATGGTATGAAGCCTAATGCCAGTTGATAAATGAGGACTGTGGTGTACTGACAGCGGCCTGCGGTGGTCCCGCCATCGTGTTAATTGTACCACGCGATCACTTGATGGGCCCTACTCCCCCGTAGAACAAACCTGGCAGTGTTTTAAAGCGCTGCCGTCAAGTATCCCACCAGCGTGTTGCTCTCTCGTTCATGCTGCTTCAGTGGATAGCATCGCCTTTTCTTACAACACAACATTCTTTGGAATGTACGTAATGTAGAGACGAATGGATGAATAGGTTTATGTAATTATTACTCAAGTATCATGAATGCTGGATTTGGACGAAGTTTTCTGTCTTTGATCTGATGTGACTTAAAATGTAAGCCACCTCTTGAAGATTAACCGCTCCCCGTCTTTAAACATCTCACTTCCCATCATAAACCATCTCTCTCACCCCATCCCACCTCCCCTTGGTGTGACTCGCTCCCCTCCCCCGGGACCTGACCAGCACCTGAAACTGGACGGGTCACTGATATTGTCGTGGAGGGAAGGCTGAGGGTGTGAGTACTCGCTGCGCTGGTGCTTGTCTCGTCATTTCCTGGCACCAGTGACCTGCACGGTCCTGGGGTGTCAGTGGTCAGTTGATGAGCCGGTCCGTGCGAGGTTTATGACCAGCCGAGTGTTGATAGCGCTTGTTGGACTTGTGCCGTAGCGTCATAACTTTGGTTTGGGACACGCTCTTCCTCGTTGTCCTTTTGATGGATATGGTGCGTAACCCGTCCATCGTTTGCGTTATGGAAATTGGAAGGTTAAACAAAGCTAATTGGGCTAGCATGTTCACACGTATGAAGTAAAAAAAAATTGAAGACTCGGATCTATCTGTGTTACTTCACTGTTATAGGGGCCTACTGTTAAGAAATAACTTTTGTCGTATCTGTCAATTTAGTTTAGCAACGGCTGGTGTTGTTTAAGGTTTAATCATTTCTTTCCCGTGTACACACGCACTCACTCACAGAGGGACATCAACTAAATATAGAATGCTGCAACTATATTTAAAATTGGGTTGTAAAACACGTCTCCACGAGTTTAGCTGGACATTTTGTTGTACCGCTCACTCTGTTAAGATTTCTGTAGCATTGATCAGTGAAGAATGACACCTGCTTTTATTTTATAATGGGGGGGGGGGGCTATATATAACTAAGGCTAAAAATGTACTGTATTTTGGTTACTCCCATAACAGTCTTAGAGCGACATTAGGAACTTTTTTGGCTTAATTTTTTTTATTCTTTTAAATCACGATGAAGTGTATTTAACGACACGTGCCCACATTTTAAAGTTTTTGTTTTGTTGTTTGTCACCTTTCCAGCTGTGCTACAACATTAAGCCCGTCTTGTAAACAAACGTATGTATATTATAGCGCCCGTCTTTGGCTTGTTGCCTTGTTTTTCTCCCACGCTTCACGGGAGCGCAGAAAGTGTGAATTGGCTATCATTGATGGGGATAATATTTGTCTAACACTGGCCGGACCAACCACTGATCTTTTCTTCTCTTCCCCGGCGTCGCCATTGAAGGTTGCGCGACAATCAAGTATCAATATTGTATTGTTGGGGGCTAACCGATTCCCTTTACGGCGAGAATAACAACCCCATCGATGATTACGTGCTGGCCCATCCATCAATTTGTGGGGGTGAGATGGATCCACCACCGCGAGACCACGCAGTGAAAGGGCCCGTTTTACCCCACATCAAGGGCGAGACCCCGCGATTCTTAATTACATCTCAGGCAGCGGGGGCAGTTTTCGCGTGGTCAAATCCTTAATTGCTTTCGACTTCTCCAGGGGCCGTTTTTTTTTTTCTCTCCAGCTCGCCGGGGCGTGGCTTTTTATCTCGCGCTTCGTTCACGCGCAGCCGCGCTCTCTGATTGGTCAGCGGAAGGATGGAGATTGTAGCGTAAAATGTGTGGAGAAACAGTAGTATTTCCGTGGATACATGTAAATAGTTTCTTCGTGTTGTGTGTTCGGCTCGGGAATAAGTTGCGGGATTCATGTGTTGATATTTGGTAGAATTTTTGCTCTCAAATGTGCCCGACTTTCTAAGATGTTTTATTGTATATGGAATATTTGGAAAAAGAAAAAGTGGATATCTCTATGTGTGTTATCTTACCAGTTTGTGTAGCTAAAACTTTTTTCGGTCCTCTAGTAAATTGAAAGTTACTTTAATTGAAGCTTTTGTTGACATGGATAAATTGTGTTGCTTCGTGTAATATGCTTGTTTTACTAAGTAGATTTTTGTAAAGCCCAAAGTTGTAATTTGTATTTAAGACGCGCATCTTTTTGTGTAAATGTACCTGCATTTAGTTTAGGATAGTCAAAATGGGCCTGTATATATATATATATATATATATATATATATATATATATATATATATATATATATAGGGGCCTTTATATATATATATATATATATATATATATATATATATATATATATATATATATATATATATATATATATATATATATATATATATATATATATATATATATATATATATATATATATATATATATATTTATATATATATGACCTTCATTGCCTATATATATACATAGATCTAGTAGGTTTTTTCCCTTATCAGTCTGTGCTATTCTAGTTTTAAGGTTTACCTTTTGATATCGCCAACCCAACTCCTATTTATACAGGTTTGTATTTATTACCTTGGGTTTCTGCTGGGTCAAGTTGCTTTCCTCCATTTAATTATCTCCCTTATCCCAGTGATCGCCCCTGTCCTTTGACCCTCACCCAAAACGCCTACTGTTTATCTTGGCCATCTAACGCCGGCCCGTCACACGGCCATTGTCCAGTTCCTCGCTTCTCCTCCGTGGTGTAAGTAAATTGACTACAGACTGCGGGGTCTTCCGTTGTAGGAAATTGTTCCTTGCTCTCTGAGATTGAAAGCAGATACAGGCCCTGCTTGAAGATCACATTTCCAATAAAACGCCCTCCTATTGTGTGCATGCCTTTGTTAATGTATCGGGTAGTTTGTTGAATAGCGCGTACGATGGGTTTTTATGCTGTTCTGTTGTTTGGTTTTATTTGACGAGGCTGGGTTCTGGCCAGCTCGAGTTAATGTAAGGCTTCAAGTTGGAATTACAAATGTCGCTGGTGGTTTTAGGGGTCGGATATACATGACGTCACGCAATTATAACGAATTTTATTTTCTCCCCCCCCCCCCCCCTCACACACACACACACACACCACCAACACCTCTCATATCCAATGACAATCACAAAGTACTTCCACACCCCACCCCTCTCACAATAACCATTATTCTTTTAAAAAATTACGCTTTTCTTTTTTTTTCAACACTAATGTATAGATTACACATGTATATCACCCCCCCCCCCCATGTAGCACATCGTCACACAAGTCCCCGCCCCCTTTCCCCACAGTTGCGTGACGTCATTTAAGGCCAAAAATATGGAAATTGATAGTAGGTTATTTGTTTGCTGGAGAAATGTGATTTATCGATTGGGTTTTTATTTACCAGAATTGAAGGTATAAACTTGACTATTGCTACTATTAGAGAATCTCATGCAGTCGCCTAAGTTAAATATCTGAAGGCAGGAGTACAATGCTTTAACGCGTAAAATGGAGGACTGTAGCGGTTTCATGTAGTTTGATCACGTCAAGCAAGAAGATGAACTGTTGCCGCCTCTTGACGGACTTGGGCAGTAGCCTGCCGGATTTAAACACCAAGTTCTACACACCAAACATCCATGGGAACATTTACTGCGGTCTTCAGACACGGCAGCATCACAGTATACAGCACCATCACAGTATACAGCAGCATCACAGTATACAGCACCATAGTTTACATCAGCACAGTTTTCATCAGCACAACATACAGCACCATAGTACACATCATCACAGCATACAGCACCATAATATACATCATCACAGCATACAGCACCACAGCATACAGCACCACAGCATACACCACAACAGCATACAGCACAACAGCATACACCAGCTGAAGGAGGTAGACGCCAGCCACGTTTACCACAAGACCAACGTCAACCAGTTTGCCGACTACCAGGTGTTTTATCTGCAACAGCTTCGGCTACAGCGGGAACAGCAGCATTGCGAGTCCCATCAGTCGTTGGCGTCACAACAGTTGTCGGAGTCACTGCCTTCCAAAGAAACCAAAAAGCAGAAGACGAAGGGTCGCCTGGCTTCCTCTTGCAAGACAGTGGTTGTCAATGACAACAAACTTGACCAAGAAAGTGGACATGATGTCACCATAGTTAAAAATACGTCATGCACCAAACATATTACCAAATTAGCTGGAGGTTTGTTCTTACAGCACATACACTTATTTAACAACCATACAACTATATGTAACAGAATCATCTGAGCTAACTTAATTTTTTAAATACTAGTTCATTTATGTAGTGATCTATAGAGCTGGTAAGTAGGTCACCAACCAGTCCTACGGCTCAATAAAGACCTGCATGAGCCATAGAACTGGTTGGTGACCTACTTACCAGCCCTATTTCCCTATGTCTCAGTTGAGTCAATGTTTATTTATTTATACCTACTCAAGTGTAGCATATAAATAGATTATGGTGCCCATGTAAAACATATTAAAAATGTTTTGTTGTTTTTTCACCTTGTAAGGTTCCCTCTCTAATAACTTTTTATGACAAAAATGTAATCCATATTGTACCACAATCTGCCATCTCCCTGTCATATTTTACCATGACCTTCAAGGAGATTGTTATACATTTTGCCTAAATATTTCTATTAGCTTTATTTTATTAGATTAAACCTATAAAATAGTATACATAGTCAGATTTTAAAGATATTAAAGGCTGCCAATATTGCATTCATCACATTACAAATGCATAGACTAATTATCTTTCCGCCACTGTGGCAAACTTTGAATACATATGAAAAACTTGAGCAATCAATTTTTTTTTTATTGTTCCACAGAAATTATTCTAAAATTAAAAGAAAGACTGAAGCACCAAAGGGTGCTAGCATCCATCTCTACAACTTCAGGAAGTAATGGTAAGGTCTTGTGAGAAAAACTTTTGTGTTGGTGCACAGTGTCACTACAGTCCCTCATTGCTTCTCTATGTGTGACAGATCTGTTGTGTGTAGACATACACTGATGTGTGTAGGAAAATTGTGCAGTACTGTTGTGTGTAGGAAAATTATACAGTACTGCTGTGTGTAGATATAATGTGTAGCAGTGTGGTGTGTAGATATATTGTGCAGCAGTGTTGTGTGTAGGAAAATTGTGCAGCAGTGCTGTGTGTAGGCAAATTGTGCAGCACTGTTGTGTGTAGATATATAGTGCAGCACTGCTGTGTGTAGGAAAATTGTGCAGCAGTGTTGTGTGTATTGAAATTGTGCAGCACTGTTGTGTGTAGGAAAATTGTGCAGCAGTGTTGTGTGTAGGAAAATTGTGCAGCAGTGCTGTGTGTAGGCAAATTGTGCAGTACTGTTGTGTGTAGGAAAATTGTGCAGAAGTGCTGTGTGTAGGAAAATTGTGCAGCACTGTTGTATGTAGATATAGAGCAGCACTGTTGTGTGTAGGAAAATTGTGCAGCAGTGCTGTGTGTAGCCACACTGTACACTACTGTTATGCAGACAAGTTATTCAGCACTATTTCTTGCTATAAAATATATTTGAAAAAGAATGATACCTTCCTGCTATAGACATTCCTGGTTAGACCTCAATAACAACGTAATTGCTTGTAAAAAGCCATTCAGCGCCTAAAAATAACTTTATTTCCAACATGTCTGTTAATATATAAAACATTATTTTCTATTGCCTGTCATATTTAATCTGTAAGGTGTTTATCTCTTAGTCTAACTGCTATACAAATATTATTCAAATGTGATCTGTACTATTGGCAAGGTTCCAGTGAGTGGATTGCTAAATGCCTAGCCTTAGAGAAGTCTGAATAAACTGTTTCTTCACACCTTTTATTGCTGGCCTGTCAAATCAGGGCTTCTGGTCATGTGACCTTTTGAAAAGTTCATTTTCTCAATTCTTTCAAAGCCATTTAAGACTGGGAATGATTCACTCTGTGGAATTTTATAACCCTCTTGTATGGAATTGATATTCTGGCAGTTGTGTGGATCATAACACCTTGACTGCTGTGGTGGCTCTCAAGTTTTGCATATTGCTGCACTGTCTCTGTCGTCTGCATTATATGGTTTATTTATGGCACTTGGAATAACCCAGGCAGTTTGCCACAAAACTAGGTTTTAGTGTTAGTATTACTTGCCTGGTCCTAAGGCTTACCTTACTGCTGGACGCTAGCCCTGATCCCTTCTCGCAAACCTAAACTCCTAATTCTGACCCTAGAGCTAACCCTACTCAAAATCCCAAACGTTGAACTACTCTTAATCCTAACCGTAGAGCTAACCCTACACATGACCCCAATCCTAGAGCTAACCCTACTCCCAAACCTAGAGCAACACCTAATCCTGACCCTTAAGCCAACCCTACCTTTAATCCTGATCCTAGAGCTTATCCTAATCCATAATCCATTCCTAGCCCTGGTTGAAGTAACCCTATATAATATTGTATTGTTTATATTTTTGTTATTAGCTTTTTTTTTTCTAAGTACTTACCTAATTCTTAAAGCCATAAACTGCCTTAAGTACTAGCCAAGTTTTTCTATTCAGTGAATGTTTTATTTCCTTAGACACAAGTTTGACAAACACCTCAGACAGTTCATCTGCTCCACCACCTGCGCTCCCCCCTAGACACCCACTAACAAATAATGACTTGACGCCCAGACTTCCAGTGACCCGCAAAGTGGCAGCATCACACCCCTCCCCAAGTTATAAAGGTGAGCTGATTCCTTAGCTGATGAAGAGTAGAAATACACAAGTGTTATTTCTGAAGTGTTTCCAGAAAATGTTTAACAGTTGAATGTTACCTGATGTTGGAGGTAGGATTGAATGCTGAACTGTACTGTTTAACACATGGGTGCTAGGGATAAGTCTGCTAAACTGAAAATCAATGGAAAAACTTATTTGCTCTTAAAAGTACTTGACATTAGTCGTTGAGGAATTTTTGTCTTGACCATACTACTGCATACGCCTTAATGTTTAGTTGAGTTGCCACAAATATATAGAAAGTCCCTGAGCCCACCCAGTTTGGCAATGTGCTGATTGCACAGTGCCCACCTATGCTTAGGCCAAAAAATCAGATAATCTTCTTAATCTGCCCTTTAGGCAGCCAGGGCCAAAAGCACAGTTAACTTACTTTATGCAACAGAGTTTTGATTTTAAACTGCTACAATGAATGTATGAATTTTCGTGAAGGTTTCTCTGAAGCCACTGGTGACCACACAGCCAACAAACAGACAACGAAGACAGCTGGTGCCAAGAAGAAGACAGGCGGGGCACTCAAGAAACCTGTTCTACAACCAAAGAAACACGACATAGAAAGTCTGTTGGTTTGTCTCTGTTCATTAACCTAATAGCTTTTATCTTTTTAACTCACAAACGTAGGAATAGTTTTCATAATTTAAAAAAAATATTTATAATTTACTTGTGATTTATATTATTAAATTGTTTAAAAAAGACAATCAGCAATGATAGATTTTTGTTGTGTATTTCATACATGTTGTGTATTTCATTTGCTTAAAACAGCAAATAATTCTGTGCACTTTTATACAGAGTAGTTTAACTGTAGATGTGACTGTGTATTGTATTGTTGTGTTGTTTTTTTTGTCAGCTTTGAACCCACTGACAAAAACAACCCCACCACCTGCTGAGCGACCTAAAAAAGCTGCCAGGGTTGTTGCTGAGAAGAAATCCTCAAAACCTGGGGCTAAAAGTAAATCTTTTTTTATTTTATTTTATTATCAATTTGTTTTGTGTTTTGATTTGACCAACAAGATCATTTAAGATGCTATTTTTTTTTTAGCTAAAGAGTAAACTAGTTTTCGTTGATTTACCAAGGGCAAAGAAACAGATTAACTCTACTTTGTCTTTCCAATTGATGGTTAGAAAGTGTACACAACCATTTTTTACTCTTCCATTCTGCAGATATAATAACCACATCCTCATGGAGGGCTGGGCAGGAACTTGTGATGAAAGAGCTGGGCATGGTGCCAAAGGTCAGACCCAAAAGTTCCCAGAACCAGGGAGATGAGCAGGAGACCCACAACAAAGCCAGCACAGAACCACGACAGAACAGGCAGCCGGATGGGGCAGAGGCTGCCAACACCACCCACATTGTCAGCGCTGGGGATGGTAACTGCAACAGCAACGAGATGGGAGAGCCTGTGGTCAACTCCAGGGTTTTGTCTGAGGATGCTAAAAACATGTTAAATGACCTACAGTTAGGTTAGTGCCATTGTAACATTGTATTCTAATTATTTAAATTTCATCAGCCCTGTTGACCAACTCATCTTAAAAGATATTGTTCATTTGTTCTGTAACCAGTTTAAACACAATGTAAAAACCACTCAAAAGACTGATAATAGTGGGTGTTGAAGAATTAGAAGCAAATAGTAGGCAATTTTTTCTCTTGTTAACTTTTCTCAGGTCATTACAATGTGATGACATGATGTAAGACTGTTGTCTTTTTATATGCATTTAAAAGAAACTAATTTCCACAGGAGTGGCAGATAGCAATGTCAAAGTTAAAAGTCCAGTCCGTCCAGCTGTTAAGAGGAAAGCACCCAAAGGTTTGAACTCTTCCTAATAAAATTTCTGTTTTTTTGGTTTTACAGTGCAGATGGGTGATGTAAACATTAAAGACCAACTCATGTTTCCTCTGATAGTAGTAAACATCACATGTTTTTAAAGTTGAAGTGTTGATTACAACCCAACTAAAAAATTATTTCAGAGCCAGAGAAACAACAGCCCTGTGAAAAAGCACGACACTATGATCAAGAATCTGTGCGCAAGTTCATTGCTGCGCAGAAAGCCAATCGGTTAAAAAAGCAGATGGAGGTAAGTAGTTTTTACACTTTTGTCTACATTTTACATGTATAATAAAGATTGTTAAAAAGTAATTTTGCATTTTCTATTATTTGTTGTAAAAGTTGACATTTTATACCCTATCAATTTATATGAAGTAATATTTAATATTATTTAAAACTGAAGACACCAAATGAAATGGTGTTATCTAGTGGTAGGGTGCTTAGGCCGATAGAATTTGATTTATGGGCACAAGTCTGCCTTGCTCTCGTGAGTACTAAATACATGTTGAAGATAAAGCCAGCGGGTCATAATGCTGTCCACACAATCCCCTTGTGTCTTGTCATTTAATTCATCTGCTTTATTAACCAACAGGTCTGAAAGAGTACAATAAAACCACCAATAATTAGTTCATCTTATGAGCTTTACTATAACAGTTCAACCTTGTCTTTTAATATTTTTCTATTTTTCCAATTGTGATGAAGACACTTGATTGAAACATGATTTGATGTGTGTTTGAACTAGATGTGTAGCTTTTAATAACCATTGTGTTTAACTCTGTCACAGGAGAAGATGGCTAACAAAAGGGCCAATGAGAAGAAGCAACAAGTGATGCATGAACTGGCTGAGAGACAGAAGAAACAAGCCATGAGATCTGCTGCAGTTGGCCGTGGTTGTTCTGAGGGGGAGAGAAAAAGGAGGAGGGACGGGCAGGGGGTAGGTTGGCATTTCACTTGTACAGTTACATGTACCATTTTTTCAAAACTACTTGTTAAATCTGTTTAATAAACCAGCACATTGCCTACTCATTAAATAATTTGTTGTTTTAACATAAATGCAGTTTATTTTATAAATACCCTAACATGTTGTATTCATTGTAATAGTTCAAGTGTGAAATTATTTGGATGATAAAAAAACTTAGTTTGCTAATTAACTGGGCTAAAGTTGATTACTGGCCTGAAAGTCTTGGTTCCCTAAAAGTTCACCAGGCTCTGATGGGTACCTGATTCAGTCAGAGAAGTTAAAGGCAACTGGGCAAAATGCAGACCACACTATCCCTTCATAAGCTGAGGCCTGAAAAAACAGTTGATTTGATTGTTGTGTATTTCAGAAATTAAAAAAAAAGTAATCTGACTAATTTTGCCAGGTTTTCAAGAGTAGCAAAGATAAGCATGATGAGCATGATGATGAGTCAACACTGACAGGTGATTCTGGGGATGATTCCACACCTCTGGTCACTCCAAGAGACATGGACGAGTAAGTGCAAACATTTGAAAATCTTACTTATCATAATCTAAGTGATACAATACAGATTTTTTTTTGTGCGTGATATTAAGTAGCTTCTTTTTATTTTTAATATTTTAAACTTATCTTTTAAAAAAGCAAATCTTTTAAAAATCAGGTAGCTAGAATAATCTTTTAAAAAGCATAAACTTATCTGTAAAACAGCAAAGGATTTATTTTTGGAAGGTAGAGGTTTGGTTAATTCTTATGCTAGAAAGTGAAAGGTTAGGAGATAGACTGCTGTTGTCAGTAGTTGCAAGCTGTGATTATTTAACCACAAGATGTATTGATGTGTAAATTCCCACTTGCAGTGATGTAAACAAACAGAGGAAAAAGTCCAAAGACGTGAATATGGAAACTGAAACTTTGCCCCAGCATTCAGCACTGAATGTTACCATGACGATAGAGAGCCCCAACACAACCAGCAGCCCATCTAACAAGTGCATAGAGTTCAAAGGGCAGAGGTTAAACTTGGATGTGGACTCTGTATTGGACAGGTTCTCACAGGTAAAAATACATTGCTAGCAGGTTTTAGTGTTATACATTTTTTTTTTTACTTCTCACAAGTTGTGACAAAGTTAACTCAGAATGTAGATTGTACTAGTATAATGATTGTAGGGTTCATATTTGAGGTTGATTACTCAATGCCCAGGCAGATGTTGAACTTTTCTTGGTGTTTGTCATGGCTGCTATATTATCTGGGGGGATTTTGTTGTTAATATGGCATCCAGTTGTATTTACACAAAATATGTATTTAGTAACTATAAGAGCAGAGCATTGTGTACTCAGGGACTCATTTGAGTAAAACAGATTAATTACCCAAGGTTCAAGCTCTTTACCTCTTTGTTTGTATTGAGCTTGTATTGCTTGACCTCTCAATACCCCTTGCTTTTTTTTTTTAAACTGGGCTTTTACAAACTAATTCACAATAATATTAGAAGCTTGGCTACTAGGAAAATATTATGTATTCTGTAGTTAAACATTTCCTTGCCCAGTGTTTCATGTTTAGGGGTCATCCATTTATGACGTCCACATGCAGAAGGGGGGGGGGGGGTCCAAAAAACTGACTTTTGTGGGCACATATGGAGTTGTATAAGGAAAAAAAGTGGATTTTTGTGGACGGGGGGGGGGGGTCCAAAATCCAAAAAAATTGTGGACGTCATAAATGGATGACCCCTTACAGAGATCTTTAGTTGAAGCCATTTTGTCAGTGGTCTGTAGTATAAGACATGTTGTTGTCCACTTCAGGTTGTCAGCCAGAGAAGACAGCAGGATGTAGAGCCCACCTTTGGGACGGCCATAGTTAGACCCAGCATGTCCAACCCCACAGAGTTCAGGTTCCAGGGCAGCAATGTCTTTGCTGGAAGCTTCCATGAGCCAGAGACAGCCTTCACTATCAGCTCCACCAACTCTATAGCCAGGACCAATGAGGAGAGGAAGCAGGCCATCAAAGCTACAGCCTTGACCTTGCAGAACAGATTGGCAGAAGAAAGAAGAAAGCTTGAAGGTCATTTTAAGATTTTACTTATTCTTTTTTATATTAACTAATTTTCTTTCTAGCTGATTTTATTTCATCATCTTAGAATTTAAATGTTCTGAGTCTATATACATTGAATCACTTAGAACCTTGTAAATTTAGGGTGTACTTTTGAAAAGCATTGTCTACACAGATGTGTATTAACTAAGTTGTCAAAATTTGACAGTCTACCAGTTGCGTTGTTTGCACCTCTGATTTGTTTTAAGATCAGGTCATACAAATTATGAGGAATTGTACTTTTCGGGATTTTAGTTAATTATATTTATTTTTATATACTTTTAATGCACAATTTTGTACTTAATTTTAAGTCTACTTAACTAAAGTGTAACATTAGTAATGTACAAGTATGAGAAGAAATATTGATTGTCTTACAGAAGTGAACTTGAATGACAGCAGTCAACAGTCCAGATCTGGCTCTGATGTTGTTACACGTTACAACAGGATAGCTGGCCATCGCAAGGATTACGCTGTGTTTACCTCCAATCTTCCTGGTCAGTCTTTGTCTGCTTTTGTTTGTGTTCCCATTGTGTACCATAGTTGTTTTGTTTTTTATTTAATTAAGTTAGAGATAAAGAAATGAAGATTAGTGTTTGTTTACTGTAAATCCATCCAGATACTTGGTCATGTATGTTTTGGTGTTGTCATTTTACATCTTAACTTTTAAAAATGTACATGTCAACCAAAAGAAATAAAGATGTGTGTCTTGTCTTTCAGGAGCCCAGCCAGAGACCTCAGCCAGTGGGTTTAGAAGACGTGAACAGGAAAATGATGCGGCCACCAGAATACAGGCGGCCTACAGGGGACATAATGTCAGGCAGGCCTTGAACTGGGAACTTCCTAGTGGCAACACCCTGGGCCATGTCCTCAGGGGTGGTTCACAGGTAATTGCCAGTCTTGTTCATCCCAGAGGTTTTAAATTACCTAACACAAAAAAAATAGAAATTGTAACATGTGAAGAAAGGTGTGGTGGGAGTATTGTTTCAAATAATGGTGACTACACAAAACCTTAGCCTGGTCAAAGAAACAAAATCCTCCTCATCTGCGTTTTATCAGATCTGAAATGGTACTTTACTTGTTTAAATGTAATGTTTTTTGTTGTGGGGTTAAAAGTTAAAATTTTGTTAACTTACCCAGTCATTGAAAGAGAACAGCCTCTAGAATCTGTGGTTAATTTATTTCCTGTTTAGGTAAAAACCAGTGCCCATGACAGTGAAGAGGAATCAACCGCGACATCAACTTTCAGTGAGATCACTGCCACAGAGGCCTCAGATGGTGACAACAGTCACCTTCACCTCTCAGGAAATAGAGTGAGTTCACTTGTTTATAAATAGTTCATCAAAATACATCTCAGCTACAGGAGAATTTTTGCTAGACTGCTAACCCAAAAGTCTCGGGTTTGAATCCGGGTTCAAGTCAGCAGAATGTCCCTGAGTCCACCCAGCTCTAAATGGGTACTTAACTGACTTAAGTGAAACTAAAGGCAGCTGGGCATAGTGCTGACTTTTATATCCCGGGGTCAAGAAACATGAACTGTACTTTATCTGCACAATGGATCGCTAGGTCTAAATTGGAATCTTTACATTTTTTTGCAGGATAATGTTACATTTTTATTTTCTTATCATAACAATAATTAATTGTCTTTTGATCAATATTTCTAGTTATCCTTATGTTCAAGTGGTGTCCAGCTGGTTCCATTTTTTGGCTTACGGTTGTTCTGATTTATTATTTCATGTAGAGAAATGACAGCTCCAAGCATCAAAGGTATGCAGGGTCAGGCAGGACAAAGCCCACTCCCGCCACGTACAAGCCCCCCTCAGAGTATTCATGGTCTGAGGTGAAGGCTGACCCCTACAGTGTCATGAGTGTCTTCTCCAGACAGAGCAAGTATCTGGCTGCTGGTAGGGATATGCTGCTGTTGTTCATTTTATAGACTCGTGTTTGATACTTTAACTTTACATAAAACTACATTTTTGATATGCTGGACATTTATTTTATGTTTTAACTTCACACTAAACTTTACATTTTCATGTCTGAACTATTCACACATTTTTTTAAACTTTAGTATAACTATCCCTGAAACTTTATTTACTTGGGTAAATGAAGTTTCTTTTTTATAAAATTCTTTCTTTCACAAAACTGTTTTCATTTTTTCTATACATAAACTGATCCTATTTACTGAACTATTTCCTTTGCACTACAACACATTCTTTATTATTCTAGAAAATGTACAAAACTTCTTAACTTATTCACTAGTTACTTTTATTTTTATACATTTGATATGACTGCTTTAAAGATAGCATTGATAAAATTGTAAAGACTTTGTTGTGTATTTATCTGTAGGTTCCAGACAAGCAGACATGCCCCAAAGGACAACAGTGACCTCCAACATCATCACCACTACCACCACCACAACCTCTAAATCAGCACATGCTGACATCCTAACCAACCTGGACTTGACCTCTTTGAAGGTTTGAGATGTTTCATATTGACAACACATTTTTGTTATGACAAGAATTAGGAAACCAGTTATAATGACTAATTTATTAAGTTAAAAATATAATTTTACTTTTAACAAATGAATTAGACTAGTAAATCAGATATATTGACTTTAAGTTCAAAATAATGTTATCTTTAACAAATTTATTAAGTTAAAAGAATTTTACTTAAACAAATTACAAAGCATAAAAATTAAGAATGATATTAAACCAAAAATAATGACTAAATTATTTAGTTGAAAAAATGTTACTTTTAACTAATAGGAAACAATTATTTTTTTTACTTAATTTGAAATTGACAGGTGTTTACATTTGTTGTTTTGCTTTTAATAATTCGAACTATATTTTTACTTAAAACAAAGTAGGGCTACAATTAAATGTTGAAGACACTAACTGAAACAACTTATTATATCCAGCAACCTGTGATAACGTCCACTGAGCAAGTGATGATTGGTCAGACTTCCAGTGGACAGCCCATCATAGCCAAGGCTCGCTACACGCGGGTGGAAGCTACAGTAGATGAGCAGATACAGGACAACAGTGACTTGTCTGTGTCAGATTCACCTAAACATTCACATCACAAAACTAAGACTTCACTGATGTAAGTTTTTCTATGAGAACATCTGTCAGATTCACATGTTTCACATAAACATTCACATCACATAACTATGACTTCACAGATTAAAGTCTGACATTTACATAGTAATAACTGAGTTATTTTTTGTTTGTTTTTTAATTTAGAATAGTTCAAATAAAACTTGCAATGGATTTTTTAACAATTTATTGCAGGGGGAATGAAATGGGCTCTAAATCTGAACCAGTTTATTCACTGAATTATGAGAGGTAGAGTTTTTTTTATCATCAAATCTCAATCTCTACTTAAATTTTTTTTAGTACTGAAATAACACAATTTAATTTTTTTTGGTATGGTTATTCTTATATTGAATCATCATAACTAAATCATGACTACTGGTTTCAACAACTAACATACCCTCCCATTTATCAACAATCCCACTATTCATCAAGACTGAACCCCACTTTGATATCACAATTTTATCTGTGTCCCATGTAAGACCAGTGTGTTCTGCCTTTCAGTGATGAGTCTGTAACAGGCAAAGATTCCAGCAAGAAATCCATCCAGCAGCGCTACGCTGGTCAGACATCAGATGCTGGTGTGGAGACGGACGTCTCACAGATGAGTGAGGAGGAACCTAGGATCTTAAGGTCAAAGGTTAGTGTCCATGGTAGAATGGGTTGGCTTGGCTGAGTAGTAGAGCACACTATTACTAACCTGTGTGTCAAGTCCACCCAACTATATTTGGTAACTGAATTTAGTTGGGTAAAATGAAGATAGTTAGGAATGATGTCTTCATATCACAAAATAATATTTGAGAAACATACTCTTCCTCATCGACTTTAAGGACTGCTTAAGTTCAATCACAATGATACTTTACTTTTTTCTTTAAACAAATAGTTTATCAGTACTTAGTCATTAGTTGTTTTTATGAAGAAATAATTTTTTTATTTTAACATTGCACTTTTAATTAATATTTAATTGATTTTTTTTTAAACTTAAATTTGATTAATTGTTATTTGAAATTCAAGACATGTTCAGTTCTCACATTTTGCCTACTATACTAGTTTGTAGATTCATGTTGAAATTTAACTCATGAAGGATAGCTAGTACTGAATGTTAACATAGAAATAAATAGACTAATAATGTGTTGAGAAACAGGGTAGGACAGTGTTGAGTGTTTGAATAGAAATCAATTTGTAACCTGTTTGTGTTGTGCAGTTGGAGACCCAGAACATGGCACATGACAGACCTTCTAACCGCGGGGCAGGGGACGGGAGGTTGTCCCCCAACTCTCTGGCCAACAAATTCTCTGCCAGCCTGAACTACCTGGAGGGGATGGAGGAGTCCCTGAGGCAGGTGGTGGGCATGGAGAGGACAAGAGGGATAGCACTGGCACAGCAGGAGAGTGTGACTCTAGCACAGGTGCTAAAGGTGAGCTATGGTAGAATATTCATTAAACAGGTGCTAAAAGTGAGGTCTAATTAAACAAACTACACCAGCACAGGTGCTAAAGGTGAGCTTTGGTAGAATATTCAGTACATTAGTACAGGTGCTAATAGTATGGTTTTGTATCCGCTGCTAATAGTGAGGTCTAGTAAAACATTCACTACACAAGCACAGGTGCTAAAGGTGATTACATCAGCACATGTGCTATAGAAAGTGAGTCTAGCAGAAGATACTGGTTGTCAGTGCTGCTCTTGACATTGGTACTGTAGAAAAAAAAAATATACTTGCCTGACATACCTAATACTTCACTCACACTGAGGCTTCTCCTGATATTTAGGCCAGACAACAGGAGCACAATACTGAGCTACGACATCTACAGCTGCAGGCCCAGAAAGAGGCAGTTGAAGCCACTCATCAGTTGGGCAACTTGAGGAGCAAGCCAGGAGGTCGACCTTCCTCTTCAGGTATTTTATTACACCTGCTTGGTTGACCAAATCAACCAGTCAGATCTGATAGGTTAGAATTGGAAGTATTTTTAGCACATTTTCTTTTGTTTCCCTGTTCGATGGTATAAATGTCATATGCACTCCAATGTACTGAGGTCATGAGCTAATCACACACTTATTCCAATATACAGGGATCATACCCAACCTATTGGGGTCATGACCCAACCTCACATGTACCCCAACTTCACATATACTCATTTCTTTTGCAGTAGCCACAACATCCCTACTGGAGAAAGAAGACAACCTCCGGCCTGAGTCAAGATCATCCAGATCCAACAGACCAGACAAGGATGACCTCTCCCTGTCACCTGGCAACCGTAGAATCAAACGTTCCTCTGGCACTGCCTCTTTGGCAAGTCTGTCTAAAGTCAATTCTACATCAAGAACTTCCAGGTCAGAAGAAAAAAAAATTTAAATTGTACATTTATTTTGTAAACAATTACTTAAAACAATAGTTTTAATCAAATACATCAAATTTAATTTAAAATATTGTAGAAATATGTAAACTTTTATCTAATAATTATGAATTGAACATGTTTTTTACCATCTGATTGTGCAGTGTAAAGACAGCTGAAGACTCTAGAAATACTTCCAACAGCTCCATCAGGACGGCATCAGATGCAGAGGCCCAAGACTCCCACTCTGGCAGTGTTCCAGAAGAAATCATGGGAGAAGAGTCCTACAGCATGTCCTTTGATGAGACGGACGAGGAGTCCTTCAGACAGGTCCTGCCCTCAGAGTCTCACCGTAAGGAACTGCGCAGACAGAGTGGGGAGTTCTCACAGAACCATGACAGTGAGTTGTCCTCTCTTTGGTTTAGTTTATCAAGAATGTGGGGTAGTTGGAATAAGTGGGGAGTTCTCTTAGAACCATTTCTCTCTGTTAACCACTACCATTATCCGATGTAGTTTTCCTGGTATTTCTTTTCAGCTTTTTTTTTTTTTTGCCTGGCATTGTACTTGTCAGAAAGTTTTTGCTATAAAACTCTATACAACCACATAAACTTGATAATAAAGCCTATATTATAACCCTGCATTTTGATTTAAAATAGCCGTATACGCATGTTGCTTGTGTTTATAAATAAATGTTGGTTGTAAAAAAAATATAATAAATATTATTTTTAAAATTTCATAAACTTTCATAATTTCTTTTTTAAACAGACCTTTCACTACAGTTGGATTTTGAGTATATGTTGACTTAGAGTATAGCTGTTGAGCATGTCTTACAGTGCTATAAATGAATCCTGTTGAGTTAGAAACTTGTACAACTGTGTTTTGTTCTCCTTCCCTCAGGCTCCAGCCACCAGCTGACCCCCTTGAGTGACCTAAGCTCCCTGTTTGCTGGTGAGGACAGCTTCAACAAGTTCACTGTGGAGATGGTCAGACAGATCATGAGGGAGGAAGAATACAGGGCACAACACCAGGTCAGGCCTGTCAACATAATTTTTTTTTTTATTCAAGCTATTGTGTTGCTGTTTACACACTGTGTTTGTCAACAATTTTGGAAGTAGATTTCTCTAATATATTTGATCAAACATTGTTCTAATTAGAGTATGTGTTTCTGATGCCAATGGGATGGTAGAGTTCATGTCAGTTAAAGTCCTGAGTTTGGATCCAGGGCTCAAGTGTGTAGGATGTCCCTTAGAATGTCCAGCACTAATGGGTACCTAACTCATGTCAGGGAAACCTAGGTGGCTGGGCATGGTGCTGACCACACTATCCCCATGTAAGCAGTGTCATTGAGACTTCATCTGCCCCATGTGTTATGGGCACAAATGGGACAAGATGATAGTATAGGTCTACATTATCAATCATATCTGAGTTGTAAAGATGAGGATCTCATTAAAGCACATGTATGTGAACTCCCTGTGTCTATAGGCTGCTCTCCTGAGTCTGAGAGAGAAGGCACTGCATGAGAAAGCTAAGGCGGAGCTGGCTTGGCTGCAGCAACTCAAACAGAAGCCACTCAACAAGGGAGCGGATGATGTCTTCCCTAACCTGGATAAAAAGGAAAAGAAGATTCGACAGAATCTACAACAGCAGCAGGTAGGTTAGCTTTGAGCTTCAGGTGGTTAGATTTGTCTAGAGGTGTTGTGTCCTTTGTGCTTTATTGCTGTGGTGTCATTTGTGTCATAGAGCTCTGATGTCATTTGTACTTCATAGCTGTGATGTCATTTGTACTTTATAAATGTTATGTCATGTGATCTTCAAATATGTCATGTCATTTTTACTTTTAAAATGTGGTGTCATGTGTGCTTTATAGATGTGCCATTTGTGGTTTATAGATGTTGAGTAAAATGTGTAGTCTATTACTGATGCCAGAGTATGATGTTGTCAATTTCTCCTCTAGGCTGAGATTCGTCGCCTCCAAGAGGCTAACAAGCTGGCCAGTAAAGAAAGACAAATGCTGCTACAGCAACATGAAGAGATTGCCAAGATCAAACAAAACACCCATGCTGTAAGGCTTTTTTCACTTGAATCAGCTTTGTAATGTTTAAAACATGTTCAAAACAGTAGTCTGTTAGAAGAAAAAATACTTTGATTGGATTTGATTTCAGACACTTCAAAAACTAAAGACAACTCCTGTAAATGGACGGCTAGCAAGACCAACTGAAGTGCACACTGAAGATGAGGTATTGCTCTTTAATTGTTTTATTCTTTCCATGGCATATAGGTTTTCACTGTATCATTTATAAATAAATAAAACTTATCATTTTTGTTCTACCAAGTTTACCAAATGAAAATTTTTCAGTGTTCAGTTAATGTTTTTGTACTTAGACATATTTTTTCACAATGGTAAACCCCTCTAGTCAATGTACTCTCTCCATCATAAGGTCATGTGCTTATCCATACAGTAAATGTTAGGGGTTAGTGCCAGGTGCCCCTGTCAAGTTGGACTTGAACTGTCTCAGTTTTGTTTTGTCTCTACCCAGTTATCCCATGCCCTGGCCCAATGCTGACTGATCATAGACCAATGTCCCATGCTACTTTCCTAATTTATTGCAACTCAGACATTACTGTACTTGCAAGAACTAGCACCCAGTTGTAAACAGCCCACCACCCCCTTTATAATGTTTGGTTATTTCTGGTCTTTCAGACGGAGCCTGTATCAGATGTGAGGGATGATGTGAAAGATTCCAAGTCCGACTCTGAGATGTACAAAGACAAGTCACCCAGCAAGCGAGCACAGGGGGAGAAGAAAAACATGGAGAAACAACAGATGATGAGGCTAGATCTCAAGTGGGTTGGCTCTTTGTTTTGTTTAGATTGTTTTGTTTTGTTAAGATCACAAGTAAATTTTTTTATAGATGACGCTTGGGTTATGTCATGCAGTTTTTCATTTAAGTCTAGATCAGAAGTGGATTAAGTCATGCTATTTTACAAGATATTAGGCCTAAATGAGTTCAACGCCTCACTTTGAAGTCAAAGGGCCATATAATAAAATGTTGACCCTGTAATATTTAATTATGTTTGAGGAAATTTTGAAAAACAAAGACAAAAGAACACCTACATGTACTACTAGAACACAGTGTTAACACCTTGAAACCAACAGATGTTGCCTCTGTTCCCAGGTATATGACTGCCAGAGAACAGAAGCTCCATGAGAGGAAGAAACAGGCCAAAGAACTCTTGGAGTGGAAGAAAAGGCTGGACGCTGAGGAGCAGAAAGTGTACATGCTGGAGAAGAAGGCTATTGAGGCTTGGGGGAGCAAGGAGAAGAAGAAAGAGGAGGTGGCCGTTAAAAAAGGTAAAGCTTTTTTTTCCTTTAAAGTTTCTTTAATTTTTTTTTAACAGCTTTAGTTTTAGAATAAAAGAATCCTACCAGTATTATTAGTTATAGATTATTTTTTAACTACCTTTTTTATTTATTTCAAAAACTTTGTTTTTTGTTTACAGTGACCAAACTTGTCACACCATCCAAGGGCGATGATTCTAATGTTATCTCCAACCGTATTCTGTCCTCCATCCACGATGAGCTGGATGGGGCAGCACTCAGATCTCGGACAGTGCAGGGTTCCATCTCTGAGGTCATCTCGACCCAGCTGAGTATGACGGAGACAGTGACAGAGGAAGACGTTAGACCCACAGAGGTGAAAACTAATCAGGGATCCCCTTTGGCCAGTGGCAGTGAGGGCTCCATACCAGAGGAGGTGGTTAGTGGCACGAGAGAGGAGAAGCAGAAGGTGGGTGTTTATTACTAACTGTAACCAGCAGACAACTAACCTATTATCAGTACTGTATGAACTTATGGGTTGATTTTTTTTTTAATAAGAACCAGCATTTCATGTTGGCTTAGAGATTGCATGTTTAACAGATAAAGCACACTGTTGTATTAGGTCCAGTTTGTAGGCTTGAGTCTGTTTTATGATGTCATTTGTGCCAATGGGTAGTCAACACAACTCTGGTATAATACATACTTTTTATACCCTGAGGTTAAAGAAACTGATGAACTCTCCTTCATCTGCCTTTTGGACCATCAGGTCAAAGAGTACTTTACTTTCTACTTGACTCAACTGTTTATCATGCCATGTTGTGCTATAGTGAAAATATTTTGTTCCCCACCACTGAAATATTTTGTTCCCCACTACTGAAAATATTTTGTTCCCCACTACTGAAAATATTTTGTTCCCCACCATTGAAATATTTTGTTCCCCACTACTGAAAATATTTTGTTCCCCACTACTGAAAATATTTTGTTCCCCACCACTGAAATATTTTGTTCCCCACTACTGAAAATATTTTCTTCCCCACTACTGAAAATATTTTGTTCCCCACTACTGAAAATATTTTGTTCCCCACTACTGAAAACATTTTGTTCCCCACTACTGAAAATATTTTGTTCCCCACCACTGAAAATATTTTGTCCCCATTTTGTAGGCTGATGAGTCAGGGGACGACACCCTTGTTAACAGCCTGGCTAATGAGGAGTACCCAGATACCTTTGAGCAGGACGGCATTTCCTCCATGTCTAACCGCAGGAAGTCCCCAGTGGGCAGGCTGCTGCCCCAGGGTAACTCACCCCTCCCCTCACCCTGGTCACGCAAGACTGGATCAGAAAGTGAATCTGAGGACTCCATCTCTCATACAGGTACTTGTTGTCATCCACATACAGGTATATGTGCTCACTCTATCCATACAGATATGAGTGGTCAAAATTATTTACAGATGTGTGTGGTCACTATATAAATAGATAAGTGTTTATTTTATTACTTATATTTCATTTATTTATGTCACTGTATAACTATACAAATGACAATTGAAGGAATATAAAAATAGTAAATTCTCAAACAATTTAAAACATTCAAACTTTAAAATCAAATATAACTCTATGTATAGTATAGTGATCAAACTTTAATCTTGGTATAATTGTATAACACTTAAATTTTAAACCTGCGTATAATTGTATTACAACCAATGTTTAAACTTTTATGTAACCTACAGAGACTTTGTCTGATGCCAGTGATTATGAGGTCCGCATCCGTCAACTCAGTGATGAGCTACGTCGGCGCAGGAAAGAAGTTGAAATCTTAAAGAAAGAGAGGTCTAGGCGGCAGAAAGAAAAGTTGAAGGCACAGGAAGAGGCTTTAAAGAAGCAGCTTGATGTATGTCCTAGCTTAAAACCCTTGTTTATTTATATGTCTTATCATTAGGCTTACAAAATTAACTTACAAGTGTTATTTGGTTGAAACTGACAATATAATATCAATATATAATTCATTTAGCTAACAATTGTGTACAGATATATTATTTTACAATTATAACTTAATTGTTTAAACCTACACCAATTACCCTCTGAATGATTTGTTTAAGCCTACACCAATTACCCACTGAATGATTTGTTTAGGCCTAATTACCCATTGAATGGTTTGTTTAGGCCTACAACAACTACATCCAACAACTGAAGTTGGAGAAAGATGAGTTGGAGCATGAGCCCCAGTCAGCCAAGGCCGTGGTCAAGCCTCAGATCAAACAGCCAAAGGGAGGTCACCATGCCAAGACCAAACAAGGGACCAAAGTAGAGGATGCCAGTAACTCGTCCAGTTTTGAGGATGCCAGGGAAAGCTCGGAGTCCAACCAAACTAGTCCAGGTGGGTCAGAGGATGGGGTTTGCTTGTGTCTTATTTGATTAGCTAGTTAGTAATGTGGGTGTCTAAACTTATTGCTAGGGTTGTGTTGCCTGAACATATACTGCAAGACTTAAAACCTAGTATGGTGAGAAAGGGGTTAGTAAAGTAGTATAGATCACTTTCAAACCTGACAGTCTATAGGGCAAGTGAAGTAGAGCTCACTTGTTTATGTGACCTCGGCATATGAAGAGATAATGTGGTCAGCACTATGCCCAGCCGCCTTTACTTTCCCTAACGTGAGTTAGGTACCCATCAGAGCTGGGTGGACTCAGGGACTGTCTACTGACTTAAACCCGGATTCGAACTATACTTAGAGTTAGAAGTCCATCTCTCTACCGCTAGACCACTCCATCCCCGAGAAGGGGGTTAGTGTGAAGCATTTTATAACATCAAAAAAAAACTTTAAGCCAACATAAATTTTTATAAAGTATTCAATTATATGCCCCATGATGTTTTAGCAAACAAAAATATTTAAACTCTAACATGTCTGTCCATGTTTCAGATCTAAAAGTGTCTCCAACAGATGAAAAGACCAAGAAGAAAGTGGCAGTGTCTTTGATGGACAGAATTTCTGAAGGCTCAGAGTCACAGTCTGACAAATCTTCAGCTTCAGCCAAAGTCTCCAAGAAAGGTTCTGATGCCTCTGAGAAAACCAACTCCTCCAGCGTGCAGGAAGTGATTGAAGAGGTCTCCCAACATGACACCAATACCTCAGAGAAGACAAGCTCCGCAGGTTTGCAGGTCAAGGTCAATGTGGAGGCAGTTCAGGACAAGGTCTCAGAGTCTCTGAAAGACGAAGATGCTTCGTACTCGTTTGATTTCTCCGACATCCATTCCAGTTTGGGCCATAGCCACAGCAAGGTGCCACTGAGTGCCAGGAGCCATGGCTCTGCCAGGCTCCCCACTGAGGGGGACATCTCTGAGCAGATAGAGGTGCATGCCTCCACGGCATCTGAGTCTTCCAAGAAGTCTGAGACCAAGGCAGCGCAAGACGAAGACGACCACGTCAAGACCCCACCAACTACAGGCATTCAAGAATCTGACAGTGACGAGACAGAATCCCGCGTCAACTCATACCAGCATTCCTCCAAATCTGACGTCAGCTCCCGTCCTTCAAGCGAGCGGTCAGTCGGCAGCATGTCCTATCCTGAATACGAGGAGGAAGAGGACATTATGAGCTCAGGTTCAGAGAGGACGCCGGTGAAGTCATCCCAGAAGCTGCCCAGTGTTTCTGGTGCCATTTCTGTGAGAACTGAGGAAGAAATCAGTGAGCACATCTCAACCAGTCTTCCATCAATTTCAGACAAACAACGAATTATTACAGCTTCCTACCACCAAGATCAAGATATCCTCAACAGGTCAGTTTTCACTTCCTATTTTTTTACTATTTTAAACAAAGCAGTTGGCTATATAAAATACATTTTGTAGTGTCACTTTTATTATATAACAAGTAAAAAGTGAATATGCAATGTATTTAAAAATTAACATTGAATAATTAAAATCTCTGACGTTTTTTGCTAAGTATAACCATGACTTTCAAACAAATTAGGAAAAGGTAGATAGGCTATAAGTAAATGATATAACTAAACTTGTAATTTCCCATCATCAAGTTGTTGTGAGCTTATAAACAATTGTTTTACCCTAGCTTGTTGGGAATGGAGGAGTCAGAGGAAGAGAAGAATGAAGATGAGGATGACAAGACTCCAATAGCCACCCCTAGAGAGATGGCACAAACACCGGTACCCGAGGAGGAGGAGGAGAACGCAGCACTGCTCATGACTGACCCCCTAGCTGACTTCCACCCAGGGGATCGTGTCTTTGTGTGGGGGCGTAAGCCTGGCATACTGAGGTACAAGGGCACGGTGCACTTTGCCCCAGGTATCTGGGCTGGTATTGAGCTGGACGCGGACGATGGAGAATCAGACGGCCAGCATGAAGGGAAACGATACTTCACCTGCCCGCTGAACCACGGAGTTATGGTTCCTGGTAATGACATAACAGCTGAGCAGCCGGAGGTAGATTTGATCAACACCATCACCGGCGAGAAAAGCCCAGATGAGTCAGTGACAACAACAGACCTGGAAGATTCCAACATGGGAGACACCATCCTTCCTGCAGCCGACGCCTCCATGCTGCACTCTACCCCAGTAGGCTCCCCTTACCTGGGTCGCGCTGAGAGTGAGAAACCAACAGCAACACCCGTGAAGAAGGATTTGACTCAGCTTGCTGACAACATCACAGACCACCTGACCACAGCTATAGTCCAGGACTCTATCGCTGTGTTGGGACAAATTGCCCAGAAGAAAACACCACCTGCCGTATCCCCGAAACCTGCAAAGAAGGTTGACACTGACGTGAAGAAATCTGAGGCAACCACTCTACCTGTGATGTCTACTGCACCTGTGACATCCACTGCACCTGTGGTTTCTACCACACCTCCCACAATCACCACATCTCCCACAATCACCACACCTCCCACATCCAAGACACCTCCCCCATCCACAACACCAGTGATATCCACCACCCCACAGCAAGCCGACCAGGCTAAGAGAGTGAAGTGTGATGCCACTGCTGACGACGTCATGAAATCTTTACTCAACGAGGCCATAACAGAGATGATAAAGATCAAGAAAAGGAAAGCTGCACCAACACAGCAGCACCACATCAATGGTGATGCTGATGACAGTGAGTCCTCATTTGAAGAACACCAGGAGGAAGAGAAAAACCAGAACAATGACTCAGGTCTCTCCCTGGAACCCATACAGCGGCCATGTTCACCAGTCCCAGACACTACATCAGCCCTCGATGTGAGTCACAATTTTTTTTTTACCTGCTCAGGTGTCTCAACATATTTTATGTCATGTTTTTGTCACATTTCTTAAATTCTTTGGTCTAATCTTTCCAATATTTTGGGCAAATCAATCAATATTTTTTGTCCATTATTATATCATAAATGATTTACTTTTATTGTTTTGTAATGTGTTTTAGCGCAAGGCATTGAATGATGAAATGACAGAATTATTTGGTGAATACATTGATGATGATCTTGGGTTTGAGCAGTCAACCAACTCCATGAAACCCCCACCTCCTTACCCTGGTGGAGATCAGAAACAAAGTAAAACATTTTTTAAATCGTACATTTTTATTTTATAGACAGTATGTGGATACTAGTCTAATCATGCACACCCATTTTCCCACCCTCTGATATAAACTGTTACAAATTGTTATATTGTGATAGCAAGAATGTTTTATAATTAGATATTCTTTCAGCTAAGGAAAAAATTGCAAAACTATATTTTTCCGACTCAGGGAGGTGTAAAGATTTGTGAAAACCTCGATTTCAATTTTTTGCATGATTACAATACTTCCTCTATACTGTGTTTAGGAGAAAGTAAATGTATATCTTTCACATTATACAGCTAGCTATTGAATCTTTCATTATATGATAGAAGAATGTATAGTACCTATAAGTACATGATATGTGAATGTATTGTATCTTACAGTACATGATACAAAAGTGTATTGTACCTTTCAGCCTTTGATAAACCCCCACCTGAAGAGATCCCAATGGTTGTACCTGTCACCAAAGAGGAGATCACTCCAATCATTACCAGAGCTGTGGACATTTTCTGGACCAATAGGAGGTACGGAGAGTCTCTGGAAGGCGTGGACCCACCCCCAGATTTCCTTTCAGATGAGGAGGAGACATCCGACCCTTTGACCTTACAGAGCCGCAGAAGTTGGAAGCGGATGCTGTTTGATCTGGCAGGGGAAATTATTCGTGATGTTTATAAAAATGAAGACAAGGTAAATTTAAATTTGTCACTAAAGTTTAAATTTTGTTATTAAACAGTAAATGCTGCTCAATACTGTTACTACTACCATTATATGTAAGTTTTAAACAAGTCTTGATTTGTTTCTATTTTAACATATCTTACAAGGGACTATTATGAGAACAACATTAGCATCAATAAAACCTGTATTGTGATTAATTTTTTCCTTACCCACCACAGACTGAGCCACCACCATGGCATAAAGCCCAACACGCAACTCAGAAATTTTTCAAGGGAGTTAACCCACCCACAACATTAGATGACTTAAAACCTGTGGTCCTGGGTGCTGTATTCAAACACTTGGACATCAATGGGACGCGCAAAAACATTGTCATCAACAAATGGAACATTCGCAAGAAGAAAGATCTGGTGGATTCTGTGTTGAGCCAGGAGCTGGGGGAGGAGGAGAAGGGGTGGGTGGACTACAGGGACGACGAGCTGAATCTAAAAATGTCCTTGGCCGACTCCCTGTTTAACTCACTGCTGTCTGACACTGTGCACACTGTCAACGGCATCTACCAAAGGCGGCAGAACCCAGATGTGTGAGCACCTTGTCTTCTATTGAAAAATTTTTTTAGGATATATTTCCATTGTGTGAATCTTCAAGTTGACAAGGATGCAAAGACAACTTTTTATCACTGCTGTGCTGTGAGCATAAGACAACTGTTCTGTTGTGCTATAAATAAGACGTGTCTTTAGTAGGAATTCTGGAATCATGTCATGGAACCATAATGTGAACTCAAAGACTGGATATGAATTGTTAATTAGAGTGACGCCCAACTCTACGACACTAACTTGAGGCAGCCGACGTAGAAATGTTATGTTGAAATAAAGATCGTGCCTGAAGAACCAATGACGTGATGAATAACTTGTTGACTGACAAGGCCACGGTGAAACTTGTCCAAATAAAATTTGTGCCAGAAGTTTTCTGCATATTTTTATTTCGACCCCGCTGCGCTCTCACTGCGCCAACGACTGTGATAGTAATACTGACTTGTGTTACAGATGGTAGAGGTCTCTACCTCAGTAGCTGAATACTGTCTCATATCTTTTATTTCTATTGTATATCATTACATAGCAATTGGATCATCTCAAGGAATAGTTTTTACACTCAGAAATACAATACATCTTATCCATGATTTCAGAATTTTATTACTTTTTTTTTGTTTTGTTATTCCATTTCTGAAATGTTTATTTACATTTTTTTTTAATTGAAATTATATTAGTAAGAAATCCGACATTACATCAGGTTACATAACATAAACTTAGAAAAGACTGCACTTCATCCATCGATGAGGAAATGTAGAACAGCCAGTTTGACGAGTGCTGTGAATGTTAGCCAAGGGAGTAAACCCAGCTGTTCATTCTATAGCACCATTCATGCTTAATTGTTTTCAATTTAAAAGAGTAATACTAGTAATATTCAGTTATATTTTTTTTTACTTTTAATATTCAGTTCTTCCTCTTTTGTACGATTCAGTTCTTCCTTTTGATAAACACATGGTTTTTCTTTGTGTTTATTAATGTTTCAGCTTTTTTTATACTTTGATAAGGTTTGAACAATAGAAATGGTATATTATAGAATATGAAATATGTATATAAATTATTTACATACTGAGTAATATTTACTTAATCAGTGTACTCATAGATCTGCAGCTTTATAACATTCCTACCTTTTTATTACTAATCTATTTCCACAACACTGCCGTCCAAACTTTTGTTTTACTCTACATTAACCAGATTTCTCTCCCCTTTTAAAGTAGTTACCATCTGTGCCCTCCCTTTGAAAATACTAATACATGTGCTGTAAGCTACTAACTAAAAGTTTAAATTACTGTATGTCAGATATTTGCCACGCTTGCTTTAGGTTGTTAAGTGGTCTTTTGACTTTTTAAAATATTGTGTAGGCTTGTCAAAGCAATTTTAATGTGCAACCTCATTAATAATATTCTAAGAAAGTGCTTATTATTTAACTTAATTCCACTGTCATGGATAGATTTGAAATTTCACCCACTTCTGTGTAATTTGGTGACAAGATCTGGTGACAATGAAATGTGACATTATCTTCTGATAAAATTAATTTTAGTGTTTAAAGTAATTATAGAAAAGTGTAAAGTATTTGCACACATTTGTGCATTCGATTAGGAAGCTTTTCTTTTAGACATACAATTATCTTTCAACTGAAAAATAAAATAAATATACGAAAATATTTGTAATAACCAAGCTTTAATTTTATATCCAATACAAAGAAGTAAATTTTTAAAAATTATATATAACTCTAAATAAGTGTGGATTGCTAAAAAATCTTAGAGTAACCTTTTTAATTCAAAATTAATGAAAGTATTCACATATAGCCATTCTTGTCAGTGGTGGGCTTGAACATAATCATATTCAGGTCTGTTTGCTTGTAAAGTTAGCCCTACTAATTTTTAAACATTTTCCATACACTATGTAGCTACTCACATTTACTTGTGGTTATATATTTAGCAATTTTAATGCATAGATGAAAAGCATGTTATTTGAAAATTTTAAAATATTTATTGTTCTTGTTTTTTTTTTAATTTTCTTAATTCTTTTAACTGTTTACTTAAGAATATTTTTGTACATTTTTATTTGAACATTTGTGGTATTGTTATTTGTTTAAACCCATCTCCCATATCATTATTTTACAAGTCTCCTAGTTTTGAATTGAAACTGCAACTTGCTGTTTATCTGTTAGAATGGCTCCTATTTTCTTGGGGGAGGAATTAATCTGGTGTCGTTCTAATTTATTTTGGTTAAACTTTTGTAAACCATTCATATGGGCACTCTTGGGGGTTGATCTTCAGTCCATGTGTACACAAACTTCTGTCTATTCAGCACATAATTTTGTTAGTTTGACAGTACACAATGAGTGTGAGTTTTGGAATGCCTGTGTATGTTTTGAACAGATTGTCTTCCATTTCTGGCCTTTTAAAAAACTTGGTCCATGTCTAGAAAACAGTTTAAAATTCCTTTATACAAGTCTATGTTGAACCCTTGCACAAAGAATAGCTGTCTGTGTTTGTGTATTTTTTAACTTACAGAAATCTTGTCTGTATTTAAATGAAAATTTGTCTTGTCCCTATTTTAAAATGCCAGGCCACTATTTATTTATTGTACATATTAAAGGATTTAAATTATGACGCAGTAAATACTACTATATATTATTGTAAAGCTCTCTTATAAATAAATGGAATATGAGGAAAAGATGTGTTGTTAAAAATAGCTTTTTAAAATTTTATATATATGAAATACATTATGAAAATTAGGCTTAAACTAACAGCCAGGTTTTGAGAAATATATTAAGTCTCAGAAGAACACAGCTTCAATTACAAATCAGAGTTATTGTGTTAGTGTTTCTGTCATTTCTTGACAATTTGACATTGAATCAAACAATAAACTATTTAATTTAAATGAAAACAAACATGAGAATTTTTTTTTAAATTGTAATGAAAAAATTCCAACACAAATATGAATCAAGACAAGCAATCTTGTTATGCTGATATAAAATACTCTAACTTGAAACATATCTGTACATGAAAACTATGAATAATCTCAATGTTCCTTAACTTTCATGTCTACTCATTAAGGACTAAACTACCCAGGTCTTCATCACTGGAATCATTTTCAAGCAAAAACAGTTATAAGGGCAGCAAAATTCATTTTTCCTTAAAGCACCTTTTAACCAGAATTAGGAAAAACATGTTGAATAAAAAATATTTAGCAGAATTTGTCAAGCCTTTCCAAACTTAAAAATAACAGCTTTCAATTATACAGACTTGTAAATGATTCATAAATCTTGATACAACTTTATGTAAACAAGCATCCAGCATAACTTGTAACATTTGATTGTATAAAAGACAAAAATTACACTGAAAATGTTATGTCACAAATTGACTTTCCTTTTAAAAAAAAGAGTAAAAGTAAGCATGTTTTTTTTTTCCAGACTAAAATTAAAAATCATTCCCTAATCAGTTTTTTAAGTATAAAAAGGATGTAAAAGCAGATCTTGAATATCAGTAATCTTTGGGGTAGTTAAGTTTTCAATTCAATCAAAACTTAAATAAAACAATTGTCCCACTATGTAAAATGGGCTTGTTTTGACAATTACATTTAATTCTTTTACACTCAGCATGATGGTAATACAAGTTGCACTACACCAGTAAATTTAACACAGACAATTAGTCAACAAGAACATAAGTGAGCATACATTTGTGTTTACACAAAACAAGGAACATGGGGTATATAGTGATTAATAGCTTGAGAAAAATATAAACAAAATTCAACATTAGCTTTTTTAAACTAATATTGAAAATATTTTTCTTGAAATAAAGGATTCTTATCTTTCAATAATGGTAAAAGCATAATATAATTTGGTCTTCCTAATTCTTTAAAAAAATAAAATCTTTTTAATATAGATCTTTTAACTAATCAAATGAATATTTTATACAGATTTATTCAATACAAAAAAAAATTTTGGAGTGTTGGAACAATATACAAGTACATAAAAATTATCTGATTTACTTTAGCAAAATATGTGTACAAAATTTGATGAAAAATTAATGCTACGAATTGTAAAAAAAATATATATATATTTTATAATAGTAAAATGCTTTCCTCTGCCCACTACCAACAGTTCTATAAGCTGATGTATCTTTTAATGAGAAAAAAAAGTAAATATATGAGAAAAAAGCAGAAACAAATGTTTTAGTTTTTATTTATAGATAATATGTTTATTAAGTGTTTATATACTTGTGTTAAATGCTAGTGATTATGGTGAGAAATTCAGTATTTGCTATACTTAGCATTAAAAAAAGTGCAATTAAGAAATATGAATAATTTTTCTTGAATGCTATAAATTAGTTGTGAGGTGGGCTGTGAATTTGTCTAGGAAATGTGGAGTTAAATGTGGAGGTAAAATAATAAAAGTACAGTAAATGAAGTAAAAATTAAATTTAGGTAGAAGTTTGGCAAACATCGTTAGAGTTAATCTTTTAATCACACTAAAATCCTGGTGGCTTTGTGTTAAATTACTTCCCAACAAAATGGTAAATCAATTTAAACAGTTAAGCTAAAGCTGAATAGTCTTTAAAAAGTTAGGAACTCTTGCAAAAAAAATTTTTTAGTAACATGAAAAAATTCCTGTAGATAAAAAAAAAGGAGTTTAACAAGTAAGCAAGCAAGGCAAGAGCCCACACAAGCAATGCAAAGTTAACTTCAGCAAGCAGGATAATGGCTGATGGGAAAAACAGTAGTGTATGTGATAACCAAAAATGGACCTATACACACCTGTAACAAGCAAAGGTTAATATAAGAATTTTCTTCAAGAAAGGGTTGTTAGTTGTTTTTTTTCCAATGCCAAAAATTTAAATGCAATTAACAAACTACAAGTTACCAGATTTTCACTTACAACAAAAAGTAAAGCTATTTTTTTTTATCTTTCCTTTATCATTCATCTCCATTATTATAATTTATCTCAATCATAATTATTTCTCTCCAATCCATGTTTTAAAATTAAACTATATTTTTTTTCTAGTCCAATATTTGCTGTTTGCTATTCTATAGATTTAAGGTCTGTAAAACAAAATAAAAACAAGTGTCAGTAAAGTCATGGAGAAATTATACACATGTTTCATCATGAAGAAAGACTTTCTATATTATAAATTGTTTACAATCCGTTGTAAAAAAATTTTAAATGTTGCCATAAATAAATAACCTTACGACAAGTTGAGTGATTTTGCACATTTGGCACAAGTTCAAGGTATTTTTATCATTTATTTCTAAAATGTAAACTATTTAAGAATATGAGCATTTCTTAGAAAAATCATAGTTTGACTGTTTCAATATAAACTTCAACTTATGCAACCAACATCTTTTGACCAGTCAATTCAGGTTGCTATTTTAAAAATTAAATTGCAATCATTTTAAGTGAGAATATTTTTTTAATGGTATGAGTAGGAAACTGTAAAGGGAATAAACTCTGTACCCACTCATCATATTTCTAGCTATGATTAAAAAACAATTGTAGTGCAAAGTTGCTCAGTTTGTCATGGATGTTTGTCACATGTTACAATTAAACCACAGGATATGTAACATGAAATACCTTAAGTTGTAAATTAAAGATTGCTTTTTCTTCCATGTTGTCTTAACAAACCATATAATAAATTAAGGTAAAAAAAAAACAGATGGGCACTATTCATTAATAAGCTGCAATATTGGGGTTATTTTTTGCAAATTAAAATTCTCCATTAGAATGATGATTACAAGTTTTCTTAATTAAAAAAATACAAGGCAGGTAAACAGGGTAATGGTGGCTGTGGAAATGATACAAAAATAAAGCTTCACTTGTAAATGGTATACCTTTATTTCCATTGTCAATCTTCAATATTACCAGAATAGGCAAACCTAAACATCAAATTTGTTCAAATATTAAAAAAATGATAATTTATTCAGATCTATTTCTTTTTCTGGTAAATTAATTGAAAGAAAAGAAAATAATTCAGAATTTAAAAACATACTCAAAATATTGCACGTATATGGAATAGTGCCCACAGATTTTGGAATGTTTAATTTAAACTTTAAAAAATAAATATGGCACAGAGTTCCCCTCTCTGATGTGATCTATTTGTCTGAGGCCTCCTTTTATTTGAAATTTTAAGGAAATCAGGTACCCACAACACTGATGAGCATTAGTAATGAAGAGATGAAGGCTACATCCATCAGAGCAGTATTGTTATTATAAATGCTTTACAAAATACAACAGAGAACGGTAGAACGCAACAAGATCAAACAAGAGTCTCACCTTGACTCCATGCAGCAAGAAATAAATGGCAGCTTTTTTAGCTGGTTTATAGTGGCAAACCCTTTAACAAGCCTGCATAACTCAAACCTTTCTAACTGCATTTCAACTTTCACCTTTAGGCTACTCAACTTTCACCTTTCCACCACACTTCAACTTTCACCTTTAGGGCTACTAAACTTTAACCGTTCAGTTTAACCTTTAACTTTAAGCTTTGTTTATGCAGGCTTATAAATAGGATTGCCACCAACCAAGGTAAAATGTTTTCAACTTTTGTTCATAGTTTATTTGATCAATATTTTTTCTATAACTTGTTCTATATAATTAATTTATAAAATATCACTTTAAAAATATCATTACAAAATGGTTTATATAAAATGTTAAGAAATTAATTTGAAAATAACAGAACTTTGATAAAGAAGAGTGGTATTGAAAAATCTTAAGTGATTTCACTTTTTTTAACCAACAAAAAACACAAAAAAATCTTAAATAAGAACATTTAAATCAAAAACTGAAATATTTGTCAAGTTTTTAATTAATTATACTATAAGGAATTTTTTTTTTTATTACATTAAATTTTTTATTTTTAATCCAATTAAAAAAAATCTTGCAGCTTACTTAAGTATTTAACAAATTAATTCTCATGTGTAATCAAAATGTATTTGGGAGGAAATGAAAAACTAACAAAAAAAATGTAATATCAATTTTTAAATTTTGGCCCAACAAACATAACCTTTATGAGACAATATAAGAAGTTAAGTTTGTTTCATATCTTATTCCTTAAACATTTTTTTCAGTTAACCCAACCCGAACTTTGCCCCTAAAGATTTATGTGACAACTGGCCTGTCATCTCCCATCCTGCTGTAGTTGCTGCTTCTGCCACGCACACGGCGGTAGATCCGGGGCACCACAAAGTACAGAACCAGTCCGATGAGGATCCCAATAAACAGGCAAGCAGGGACCCAACCTGACTTCACTGAGAGAGTACAAATTTTAAAATTATTTTTTTTACCCAACCTGACTTCACTGAGAGAGAAAAAAATTTTAAATTATTTTTTTTTCCCAACCTGACTTCACTGAGAGAGTACAAATTTTAAATTATTTTTTTTTCACCCAACCTGACTTTACTGAGAGAGAACAAATTTTAAAATTATTTTTTTTTCCCAACCTGACTTCACTGAGAGTCGAGAGAGTACAAATTTTAAAATTATTTTATTTTACCCAATCTAACTTCAAGTTGAGAGAGTACAAATTTTAAAATTATTTTTTTTTACCCAACCTGACTTCACTGAGAGAGAAAAAATTTTAAAATTATTTTTTTTTACCCAACCTGACTTCACTGAGAGTCGAGAGAGTACACATTTTAAAATTTTTTTTTCCCAACCTGACTTCACTGAGAGAGAATTAATTTTAAAAATTATTTTTTTTACCCTACCTGACTTCACTGAGAGAGTACACATTTTAAAATTATTTTTTTTAAATCCTAAAGAAAACAGCTGCTAAAGTAAAGATAAATCATTATTTGAAGTTGGGGCAGTTATCAGAAACCTCAGCTCTTTAAAATTTAATATTGACCCATTACATCAGGTAAAATGGGACAGCGTGGCCTTAGCGGTAGAGAGCTAGACTGCTAACTGGAAAGTCTCGAATTCAAATCCGGGTTCAAGTCAGTAGATCGTCCCTGAGTCCACCCAGCTCTTAAGAATACCTAGGGAAACTAAAGGCTGCTAGACATAGTGCTGAAAACACATTCCTTTCCTTTGCCGGGATCGCAGTAATATGTAAACTCTACTTCACCTGCCTCATGGCCCGTGAGGTTCGAACAGGGAATTTAACATAAGGTATCAGAGTTAAATGAATAACTGTGGCCCATTTCTTTAGGTATTAGAGTTAAATGAATAAATGTGGCCCTTTTCTTTAGGTATTAGAGTTAAATGAATAAATGTGGCCCTTTTCTTTAGGTATTAGAGTTAAATGTGGCCCATTAGTCAGGTATAAGAAAAAATGTAAATAAATGTTGCCACCTGCTGTTAATAAATGGAAAATAAGAGTAAAAAAATGTCAATGCTACATCCTACAAATTGTTTTTTTCCTCTAAACATATTGGCAAACTCCATTATGATAATGTACAAGTTAAAGAGTTCATTTAAAACAGGTATGAAACAAGTTCATTATGAATTGAGAAACAATATCTTACCCCATCCAGAATAAATGTCTCCTGTATCTGGCTTCTTGGTGGTAGTTGGGCTAGTTGTTGTTGATGTTGTTGTTGGTGGTGCAATGGTAGTGGAGTTTGAAGCTTAACAGAATAAAAAGGTAATCAAATATTGGAAAAATGTTTGATCTATATATATAATTCTCTTCTTGGAGACGCTAGAAAACAAGCTTAAGCCCCTATCACCCCACCCCTACATGGTCTGGTGAGCTGTGGTTCACGCTAAATGTTTACATTAATCGTAGAGCCAGGTTTAGTGACGGCTATTAGGGGCAGATAATTTAGTTTGAAACGATTTTAAACTTAGGGGAGGTAACTAAGAGGAGGTTGCTTTCACGGGGGGGGGGTGTAGGGTAGGGGAAAGGAGGGTGGGGGTAGTATTGTCTTTAACGACCTACTGAAAGTGTTTTAAAGCAGATATTTTCAGTGGCAGCATTGATACTGTCGAATTCACAAATTATGAATTACCGAAAAGTAGAAAATAAAACAACTAAATAGCGGCGTATGATATGCCGCGGGTAGGCTCGTTTGTTATAATTCATCTCATAAATCTTTTACTTTTTTCTAAGTCACCTTTAGTCACACTATGTGCAGAAACCTACTAAAAATTAACACAAAGAACAAGTTGGCTGTAAACACAATGGTGAATGCACTATGTGCAGAAACCTACATTCAGTGGAGAAGGTGAAAGTGAAGTTGAAGCCTGTGGCAGTGTCCAGTTTAACCAGAATGACATCAGCACTGGACAGCTGGGCAGAACCATTGATCGGCTTGATGGGTGGGCTGCGTACAGAATCACCATCATGGATACTCAAAGACTTCTGCCTGTGGAGATATTAAAACATCAGAGTCAACATCATACAGTATAAACATCACATAGAGTCAACATCATACAGAGTCAACATCACACAGAGTCACCATCACATAGAGTCAACATTATACAGAGTCAACATCATAGAAAAAGATTTCTGCTTGTGAAGATGTTTAAATTTCATACAAATGCTAACCCTAAAGCAGGCTCTATAAAAAAACATTCATATTTTTTAGAAAAATGTATTAGTTATTTCTAAGACATTTTTGACTATGTATTAGCTTTTACTAAAAAAAATTGGCAAAATAAATTTAACATCTACAAAAATATTTTTGACAATATGTATAAGTTTTTACTAAAACATTTTTGGCAAATAAAAATCTCTACCAAAATTGCAAGTGCCATAGCTGCAGCAATCAAAACTCGAGACTTACAGTTCATCTGTGTTGTTTGTGCTGATGGTGAACTTGACCACATTTTTCTCAGTACCATTCCTGACACTGATGGACCAGACACATAGTTTGTTGACAACAGTACTGTTGAAGCTGCCTTCTTTGCGCAGGTTACCACCACACTCTAGAAGGCAAAACGAATTTTGAAATTTTGATTACGAAAATGTTATAGCTAAAAGAAAATCTGTAAACCGAGTTTTAGTATTAGTTTACTTTTACACTATAGTATTTTAGCTAAAATAAACTTTAGTTTACAATTGGGTATACTTTTTTTTAACTTTTTAGTAGTAGAAAAATTGATGTTAATTTATAACAATCCTTGTTTAAAAAGTAAATAAAAAATTAAATTTTAATTCAAATAAAAAAATTACTGAAGAAGGTGAAGTGAAAACTAATGAAATTAATTAAAAACTTGATTAGTACAAAAATGCAATATTTCACTTACAACATACACCAGCTATATATACTGATTTAACAGTTAAATTTTTTTTTTTATTTCTTAGAAAAAAAATTTAAATCTAAAGGTTGCTGTACCTAGCAGAAGATAAGTTATGTTGGCTCCATTTGCTGTCTGACTGTCTGTGAGTGTAGCAGTGTTGTTGGACTGGAAGACAACAGATATGTTTGCGTCTGCTTCAACAATGTAGTCTGCTGGGAGGCAGGGCTGATTAACTGGACATTCTAGAAAAGTGGAGATGTGGGTCAAGATATTTGATCAATAAAAGTAGGTTAGCAATATGGTTAGCATATGTGGGTCAGCACATGTGGGTTAGCATATGTAGGTTAACACATGTGGGTCAACAAATGTAGGTTTACACATGTGGGTCAACACATGTGGGTCAACACATGTGGGTCAACACATGTGGATCAACACCAACATGACCTCTAAGCACCTTGCAGTTGTTGTAAACCTGCCTAGCAGTTATTTAGTAAAATACAAACAGCATTGAATAATTAATGTTAGCACATTGCACACAAAAATATTGGGCATACAAGCATTTAGTACAAGGGGAATGTGGCGATCTATATGTATTATTGATAAATATAGTTCGACTCATGTGAATCACTACTAGTGGGTCATCACATGACTTGTTGGTGAATAAATGTGAATGAATACATGTGGGTCAACACATGTGGTCATGGGTCACCTTGTGGGTCAGTGAAAAACACACAAGCAGTCAACACACAACCAGAAACTTTTCTCCCCGGCTCCAACTTCTTACCAAAAACTTGAAGGGGTGTGGTGTCATTCAACACTGTGATTGAGTGGTCCTTGGCCAGATCTAATTTATCAAAGTTCAGGTACAATAACTGTGGAGACTTGGCTGGGACAGTCCACTGACACCGGGCATTCAGAGGGTACACGCTGGGGTAGTTGGGGGTCAAGATGGTACCCTTGGTCCCCAGGGCTCCACCACACACACCTGCAGTATGAGAAGACTCATTAGACACAGAGTAAAAATACTTCCCTGATTAGTTAAGCAACTAATGACTACTACAAGAAACCTGGTTTTACATTGAAAAACATTAACATAGAATGACATGACAACTATGTTTCTAAACAACATTAAATACTAAAGGGAATAATAACTTTTATAGTTAAAATTAAACTAGTAGACCAGTGCAAGGGTGTAACTTTCTGCTCTATCATGAAATGTTTAAGGGCTTCCATATGGGGATAAGTAGTGAATAGAGATCAAACACTGGTGAGGTAGAGATGAAACAATACCTGCAGGTGAAACTGTATAGCGCAGGGAGACACTATTCTTTGTCGGGACAAAAACCCTGAAAGTAATATAGGAGGGTTAGTCATCATTGTCAGTGAAATATATCAATGTCAGTGAAATACATCACAGTCAGTGAAATACATCACAGTCAGTGAAATACATCAGTCAGTGAAATACATCAGTCAGTGAAATACATCACAGTCAGTGAAATACATCACAGTCAGTGAAATACATCACAGTCAGTGAAATACATCACAGTCAGCGGAAATAGATCACAGTTAGTGAAATACATCACAGTCAGTGAAATACATCACAGTCAGTGAAATACATCACAGTCAGTGAAATACATCACAGTCAGTGAAATACATCACAGTCAGTGAAATACATCACAGTCAGTGAAATACATCAGTCAGTAAAATACATCATGGCAAGTGAAATACATCAGTGAATTACATCGTAGTCAGTGAATGCATCGCAGTCAGTGAATGCATCGCAGTCAGTGAAATACATCTTAGCCAGTGAAATACATAGTAGTCAGTGAAATACATCGTAGTCAGTGAATGTATCGCAGTCAGTGAAATATATCACAGTCAGTGAAATACATCACAGTCAGTGAAATACATCAGTCAGTAAAATACATCATGGCAAGTGAAATACATCAGTGAATTACATCGTAGTCAGTGAATGCATCGCAGTCAGTGAATGCATCGTAGTCAGTGAATGTATCACAGTCAGTGAAATACATCAGTCAGCATATGACTCAAAGTTTTAAGTTCCTGTCATGGTGGCACCCACCAACTAAACTTTTTGTTCTGTTCTGTTAATCATTTGTTATTTACAATGAATGGACTGTTTTAAAATTCCATCAATTGACATTCTACCTAGGTATCTAGCTACATCTGAAAGAAGGGTCTGTCTTCTAGGAGGACAGGCAAACTAGGATAAAGTATTGCAGATGAATTTATGGACATGTATTCTTTATATTAATAAAATTAATCTTGTTTTTATATTCACAGTCCTCATTTTTCATTGAGAGTCTATTACGTGTACATTTACCACAGGAGCTGAGGGATTTTGAGGTCAGCAGCTATGGGTTCAAAGGGGGTAAGTTTCTACTGCTAAGGATCTAAAAAAAATTAAAGAAACTATCCATGAACTTGACCAAATCTTACCTGATGCCTTCCTTAGCTGACCCAAACTATCCATGAACTTGACCAAATCTTACCTGATGCCTTCCTTAGCTGACCCAAACTATCCATGAACTTGACCAAATCTTACCTGATGCCTTCCTTAGCTGACCCAAACTACCCATGAACTTGACCAAATCTTACCTGATGCCTTTCTTAGCTTCATTAGCTGACCCAAAGATCTGAATGGCTGTGGTCTGGCTAGTAGAGAACTGTGCCAGAACTTTGCTCCCTGCAACAAGTCCATCATAGATGACCAGTGGTGGGCCAGTCACAGTGACAGCATCCAGGGTAACAATTAATGTACCTGAGGACACATGGTAGTTTTAGGTGTTGCCATGAAAGTGTTGTTTTTGAATAATAACTGTTGGTAATTTTTTTTTTAAACTGGAATTTAAACTAACAATACCAAGTGAGGCTAAATTATTTAATTTATTGTTCATTCTAAAGCTGCTCTTTAATTTCTATTATAAGATATAGTGGCAACTCTGTTAAAATGTAAAAGCTGTATTTGCCCAACCTGTTTTGCCCATTAATAAAGATCAATTAATTTGTCATGGTTTAAATTTTGTAAACAGTGCACTTGAGTTTCTTCATTTTAAAAAATGCATAAGTTAATATCAGTGAGCCACATTACCATTGCTAGTGTAGGGAAAAATTGTGTAAGTGCAATTAGAGGTGGTCGTCTGAATGTTCCAACTGCCACTGTCTGCGGTAGCCAGCTCATCACAGCCTTTGTGGAGGGAAAATTATAAGCATCATCAGCAATATAACTTGGCAACAATTTCAAATATTTGATAAGGCAAAAAAAGGAAAGTAATGCTACTTTAAAATTAATTGGTAGAGTTATTCCCCTTGCATAGGTTGAGTAAATATCTGCTGACATCTTATACAATCACTGGACTCATTTTTCTTAGTCACTATGGTAAAGAAGTTCAATGTAAAGACCAAAGAATGATTTTTACTATTGTTGGTTTAAGAAGTTTGGTGGTCATCTAAAAATATATTCTTTTATTAATTCATATTTGGCTAAATCAGCATGGATAATTATAACAATGGGAGATTAGTGTACACTAGCCCTTTCATTGTAGGAAAATGGGAATATATGCTTGCTTTAAACTACTTTGTATTCACTTTATGACTGAAGTACTTTATCAGCATTGTCCAACGTCATAAGACAAATTGACGACAACTCACCCTTAGGGATGCTTGCAAAAGTGGCGTTGAACGTTTCATTGCTGGCCACATTCTGGACAGCCACCAACATCTGAGCTCCACCAATCACATCAGTCAGCAGGCTCCCAACTCTAGGCAACACATACAACATTTAACATTGTAGTTAAAGTTATATTCATTTTTACAATTTTTACATTAATTTTTTTAAATTTTAAATCCTGTTTCTCTAAGCTCTCTGTTATGTTACAAAAAACCACTTCATCTTCTTGTGCTTTACAACTGACAAGCCACGTAGGAATGCTTGAATGAAATAATCAATACAGATGGAATTATTGCACACATTAAATTTCTATAGGGACCAGTGTGGTTTTTATTTCAGTACAAACAGAACTAATTAGTAAGTAAGTTAAGCTCCCCTTCAAAACCTGACTGTTTATGGGGCAAGTGAAGTAGAGTTCGCCTGTTTCTGTGACCTCTGCATATGAAGGGATAGTGTGGTCAGCACTATGCCCAACCGCCTTTACTATCCCTAACGTGAGTTAGGTACACATAAGAGCTGGGTGGACTCAAGGACAGTCTACTGACTTGAACCCGGACACGAACAAGAGACAAGGTTTAGCAGTCTAGCTCTCTATGGCTAGGCCACTCCGTCCCATGCACTTATTAGAGAGGGATATTAACTGGTATTAAAGTCAGACTTTTCTATCTGATATTTCAAAAGGCCAAGATCAGAATTTGTTAACAGGTTTAAAAAGTAAAAATTGGGTTTGTTCAAGTCAGATGTTAGCAAATGCCATAGCAGACTTACTTGTACTGATACACAATGCCATCAGAGGTCTGCAGGCCATTATAGAAGGTGACCACAGTGGAGCTGAACACATTCTTGGGGTCGACACTGACCTTCAACTTCAGAAACATACACAAGCATTAGAACAAATATTTTTTTAAACTCAGCATCAGCAAATCCACTCAACTTTAAGAACAAATATTTGTAACTTTCAACATTACAAACATACAAGCTTGAGAACAAATAGTTGTTTTAACTTTCAATCAGAAACACACGCAAGCTTTAGAACTTATATATTTAAATCTTTTAACTGCTATGAACCAAAATCAGTTCTTAAATAAACTCTTGATTTCTTTGTGAAACTTGTTTATTACTCACAAACATTATTAAAGTAATGGTTATATGGTCTACTGACAGATAGCAAATAGTTGTTTTACTTGTTATAGCCAGAGTTTGAATTATTTTTATATGCCTTGAGAATGTGCATATCAAATGAGTTGTTTTTCACCATATGGTTAAAAGAAGGGTATCCTGGTAGTCACTACACAGTGTTAGTATTATATGACTTGGTTAAAAGTGGGGTATTCTTGGGGTCACCATTAGGTGTTAGTATTATATGACTTGGTTAAAAGTGGGGTATTCTTGGGGTCACCATTTGGTGTTAGTATTATACGACTTGGTTAAAGTGGGGTATTCTTGGGGTCACCATTTGGTGTTAGTATTGTTTCACCTGGTTAAAAGTGATCGATTATCTTTGGGGTCCCTATTTGGTGTTAGTATTATTTGTTGGTTAAAAGTGGGCTGAAGAGGTAGAAGGTGCTTTTTATAAACTACCTGTATACATGAGTAACAACAAATGATCAGGTAAAAAGCTGATCAGATAGTTTAGGAAGTCGAAAAGTCTTGGAAACATCAGGAGACAACCACTTTCAATATTTTTCATCAATGCAAACGAATGTCATATTTTAACTCTAAGCCTCAGTAAAGATAAAGTACAAGAAAACTGTACTGACCACTTTTCCTGGCTCTGCTGACAGCTGGTAGTAGACAACCTCACTAGCTTGGCCTTTATTGATTAGCAGACTTCCTGCACCACTCAGTGGACCACCAACATCTAGGGGAGACAATGTATTTTAGTTTCACTTCTTGTAGGTTTACATGGGACAATGGGGTGATGACGCAAAGCTATTCAAATTATAACTAGGTTAGATGGCTACAATATTAGTGGTCAATTGGGACAGCTGAACAAGAAGCAAGATGACCAGTGATAACCAATCAGGGTTGAGGTCAGAGTCAGGTGACCAGAATACACATCAGAAGTTTAGTGTCAGTGGTCAGCCAGGAGGTTAGTTAGTGACAGTGGTCAGCCAGAAGTTTAGTTAGTGACAGTGGTCAGCCAGAAGTTTAGTTAGTGACAGTGGTCAGCCAGAAGTTTAGTTAGTGACAGTGGTCAGCCAGAAGTTTAGTTAGTGCCAGTGGTCAGCCAGAAGTTTAGTTAGTGACAGTGGTCAGCCAGAAGTTTAGTTAGTGACAGTGGTCAGCCAGAAGTTTAGTTAGTGACAGTGGTCAGCCAGAAGTTTAGTGTCAGTGGTCAGCCAGAAGTTTAGTGTCAGTGGTCAGCCAGAAGTTTAGTGTCAGTGGTCAGCCAGAAGTTTAGCGTCAGTGGTCAGCCAGAAGTTTAGCGTCAGTGGTCAGCCAGAAGTTTAGTGTCAGTGGTCAGCCAGAAGTTTAGTGTCAGTGGTCAGCCAGAAGTTTAGTTAGTGTCAGTGGTCAGCCAGAAGTTAAGTGTCAGTGGTCAGCCAGAAGTTTAGTGTCAGTGGTCAGCCAGAAGTTTAGTGTCAGTGGTCAGCCAGAAGTTTAGTTAGTGTCAGTGGTCAGCCAGAAGTTTAGTTAGTGATAGTAGTCAGCCAGAAGTTTAGTTAGTGACAGTGGTCAGCCAGAAGTTTAGTTAGTGATAGTGGTCAGCCAGGAGTTTAGTGTCAGTGGTCAGCCAGAAGTTTAGTTAGTGACAGTGGTCAGCCAGGAGGTTAGTTAGTGTCAGTGGTCAGCCAGAAGTTTAGTGTCAGTGGTCAGCCAGAAGTTTAGTGTCAGTGGTCAGCCAGAAGTTTAGTTAGTGACAGTGGTCAGGCAGAAGTTTAGTTAGTGACAGTGGTCAGCCAGAAGTTTAGTTAGTGACAGTGGTCAGCCAGAAGTTTAGTGAGTGACAGTGGTCAGCCAGAAGTTTAGTTAGTGATAGTGGTCAGCCAGAAGTTTAGTTAGTGACAGTGGTCAGCCAGAAGTTTAGTTAGTGACAGTGGTCAGCCAGAAGTTTAGTTAGTGACAGTGGTCAGCCAGAAGTTTAGTGAGTGACAGTGGTCACCAAGAAGGTTAGTTAGTGTCTGGTTCATCAGGAGTTTAGTGTCAGTGGTCAATCAGGAATTTAGTTAGTGTCAGTGGACAGCCAGATAGGTAATTAGTGTCACAGTTGCAGGGAAAGTTTCAGATGAGAAGGTCAAGTAGAAATAATTGTAGGTCCAGGGGTTAAAGCAAAGTTACTTGGATAGAAGTAGAATTGAAGATAGTCATCAATAGGAATAGTTAAATTTTGTTATAATGCTCTTGTCTGACAATGAATAAAATAATATTTGTAGATGGAGAGACTTTGGTGTTGATTGTATACATACAACTAACAAGAATCAGTTAATGTACTAAGAAAGGGGAAAAATATCCCCATTATGATTGATTAATGATTTTGTATAATTTCTACATCAGATGGTAAGGTGCCCAACATACACAGATAAGAGGATTTAAAGTAAGGTCATAAATCTACAATGATAAGAGCTACATGAGAATTTTAAAAAGCTATCAAACAAAATCATTTTCGTAACTACTTAAAAAATGAATCAAGTTGTAGGAACACAGAAGCTTGTTATTTTTCACTTAAAATTTCAGAAGAATAAGAAATAGTTTTGTTTGTCAACCTCAAGCTGGTATTAATTATTTTTTTAAGTTGAAGAACCAATGTAAAAAAAAACTAGAATATAAAACCTACCAGTAGATTGAACAGAGAACTCGATGGTCCTGGTGAATGCTGTGTTTCCAAGGGTCAATTGTACTATGGTTTTAGTATCAGATGGCAAGAACAGGTAACCTGCAATGGGAACAACATTCTCAGAATTGTGCCCCTTTACAACAATATTTGTTTTTTGTGTAAAGGATCAGTCATTTCATTTTAATTTGAGACTCCTCACTAAAAAAATTATAGATCTTCAAAGCTTGCTTCCAATATAGATATTGAATAATATGTGTACTAGTACCTTAGTATAATTAATAGGTTTTATCACTTATTTCTGTTATTAAAGATTTAAAATAGAATCCAGGATGTGTTGAGATCAATAAATAATGTTAAAAATTAGTATATCTATAATGGGCACTTGTTTTCTTTAACAATTTTCTTTTTAAACTTACTTTCTATTAAACTAAAAACTGGTGCAATGAAAGAAAAGATTGTAGTTTAATATAAAGAAAAAATGACTACAACATTAGTAGCTTATTATAAAGGGCCACAAAGATTCCTCACTTAGAACCTATCACTAAAGCTAGACAAACTTTAAATCAGGACTGTAGCTATCACCCCATTTAGAACTTACCATCACTAAAGCTAGACAAACTTTAAATCAGGACTGTAGCTATCACCCCCATTAGAACTTACATTCACAAAAGCTAGACAAACTTTAAATCAGGACTGTAGCTATCACCCCCATTAGAACTTACCATCACTAAAGCTGGACAAACTGTTTTTGGCAGGACTGTAGCTATCCCCCCCCCCCCCATTAGAACTTACCATCACTAAAGCTAGACAAACTTTAAATCAGGACTGTAGCTATCACCCCAATTAGAACTTACCATCACTAAAGCTAGACAAACTTTAAATCAGGACTGTAGCTATCACCCCATTAGAACTTACCATCACTAAAGCTAGGCAAACTTTAAATCAGGACTGTAGCTATCACCCCAATTAGAACTTACCATCACTAAAGCTAGACAAACTTTAAATCAGGACTGTAGCTATCACCACATTAGAACTTACCATCACTAAAGCTAGACAAACTTTAAATCAGGACTGTAGCTATCACCACATTAGAACTTACCATCACTAAAGCTAGACAAACTTTAAATCAGGACTGTAGCTATCACCCCAATTAGAACTTACCATCACTAAAGCTAGACAAACTTTAAATCAGGACTGTAGCTATCACCCCCATTAGAACTTACCATCACTAAAGCTAGACAAACTTTAAATCAGGACTATCACCCCCATTAGAACTTACCATTACTAAAGCTGGACAAACTGTTTTTGGCAGGACTGTAGCTATCACCCCAATTAGAACTTACCATTACTAAAGCTAGACAAACTGTTTTTGGCAGGACTGTAGCTATCACCCCAATTAGAACTTACATTCACAAAAGCTAGACAAACTTTAAATCAGGACTGTAGCTGTCACCCCAATTAGAACTTACCATTACTAAAGCTAGACAAACTGTTTTTGGCAGGACTGTAGCTATCACCACATTAGAACTTACCATCACTAAAGCTAGACAAACTTTAAATCAGGAATGTATCTAGCACCACATTAGAACTTACCATCACTAAAGCTAGACAAACTTTAAATCAGGACTGTAGCTATCACCCCAATTAGAACTTACCATTACTAAAGCTAGACAAATTTTAAATCAGGACTGTCACCCCATTAGAACTTACCATTACTAAAGCTAGACAAACTGTTTTTGGCAGGACTGTAGCTATCACCACATTAGAACTTACCATCACTAAAGCTGGACAAACTTTAAATCAGGACTGTAGCTGTCACCCCAATTAGAACTTACCATTACTAAAGCTAGACAAACTGTTTTTGGCAGGACTGTAGCTATCACCACATTAGAACTTACCATCACTAAAGCTAGACAAACTTTAAATCAGGAATGTATCTACCACCCCCATTACAACTTACCATCACTAAAGCTAGACAAACTTTAATTCAGGACTGTAGCTATCACCCCAATTACAACTCACCATCACTAAAGCTGGACAAACTGTTTTTGGCAGGACTGTAGCTATCACCCCAATTACAACTCACCATCACTAAAGCTGGACAAACTGTTTTTGGCAGGACTGTAGCTATCACCCCAATTACAACTCACCATCACTAAAGCTGGACAAACTGTTTTTGGCAGGACTGTAGCTATCACCCCAATTACAACTCACCATCACTAAAGCTGGACAAACTGTTTTTGGCAGGACTGTAGCTGTCTCCCCCATCAAAGAATGACAAGAGATCATTGCCATTTGAGATGGTCAGGTTCTTCACACTAACAACAACTTTGGTTTTGGTGGATTCAAACTTCCAGCGGCACACAGAGGAGAGGGCAGGCTGAATGGTTAGGTTCACTAGATAACTGTCATTATTAAAAGATCCGGAACACGCTGAAGTTGGAGAGAAAAACATGAAGATTACAAACATAATTATATGTTTAAAATAATTTCTGGTGGGTACCAAACTTAAGATAGGGAAAGTAAAGGCGGCTGGGCATAGTGCTGACCACGTTATCCCTTTATATGCGAAGGTCAAGAAACATATGAACTCCACTTCATCAGCCCAATGGATCGTTAGATCTAAAGAGGAATCTTTTATTTACAATAATTAAACAAAAAGAGTTTAATTAATGTATATTATTTTTCTAGATTTGAGAAAGTACTGGCTCCAACAAGACAGAGAATTTTTTCTCACCTGAAAGTACTGGCTCCATCAAGAGAGAGAACTGCTGGGTCCTATTTGCATTCACTTTCCAGGTCAAATTGAAGTTTGTGGTTCCTGGGAAAAAATCTTCAGGCTTGCTGCTGGCTGTTAGAAGAAAAATGTGGAAAGTGTTAGAATAAAATGTGGGAGCTATAAGAATAAAATGTGGGAGCTGTTAGAATAAAATGTGGGAGCTGTAAGAATAAAATGTGGGAGCTGTAAGAATTTAATGTGGGAGCTGTAAGAATAAATTGTGGGAGCTGTAAGAATAAAATGTGGGAGCTGTAAGAATAAAATGTGGGAGCTGTAAGAATAAAACGTGGGAGCTGTAAGAATAAAATGTGGGAGCTGTAAGAATAAAATGTGGGAGCTGTTAGAATAAAATGTGGGAGCTGTAAGAATAAAATGTGGGAGCTGTAAGAATAAAATGTGGGAGCTGTAAGAATAAAATGTGGGAGCTGTTAGAATAAAATGTGGGAGCTGTAAGAATAAAATGTGGGAGCTGTAAGAATAAAATGTGGGAGCTGTAAGAATAAAATATGGGAGCTGTAAGAATAAAATGTGGGAGCTGTAAGAATAAAATGAGGGAGCTGTAAAAATAAAATGTGGGAGCTGTAAGAATAAAATGTGGGAGCTGTAAGAATAAAATGTGGGAGCTGTTAGAATAAAATGTGGGAGCTGTAAGAATAAAACGTGGGAGCTGTAAGAATAAAATGTGGGACCTGTAAGAATAAAATGTGAAGCTGTTAGAATAAAATGTGGGAGCTGTAAGAATAAAACGTGGGAGCAGTTAGAATAAAATGTGGGAGCTGTAAGAATAAAATGTGGGAGCAGTTAGAATAAAATGTGGGAGCTGTAAGAATAAAATGTGGGAGCTGTAAGAATAAAATGTGGGAGCTGTAAGAATAAAATGTGGGAGCTGTTAGAATAAAATGTGGGAGCTGTAAGAATAAAATGTGGGAGCTGTAAGAATAAAATGTGGGAGCTGTAAGAATAAAATGTGGGAGCTGTTAGAATAAAATGTGGGAGCTGTAAAAATAAAATGTGGGAGCTGTAAGAATAAAATGTTGGAGCTGTAAGAATAAAATGTGGGAGCTGTTGGAATAAAATGGATTTTTTCAACATCACATTACAAATAAGCCTGTGTTTTCTTCTGTGTAATTTCTTGAGTGATTTTGTTTGAATGTGTCATGACTATACACATGTCATATGACTGCACATCTGCATCTAATAGCTGTAAACCATGTTACATGATTTCACATTTGTGAAACAGTTTACACTTCAGTCTCAGATGATTTCTCATCTTTGTCATATAATTACACACCTGCCACATGACTACACAGATGTGTCAAATTAATACACACGTGTCACATGATTACACATCATTGTCACATGACTACACATGTGTCACATTACTACACACATCCTATCATTCGACTACCCATCTGTGTCACTACATATCTGTCAGATTACTACGCATCTGTGTCAAATTACTACACGTGCGTCTGATGATTACACATGTCTAAAAGACTACGCATGTGTCTCTAATTACACATCAGTGTCACTAATTACACATCAGTGTCACTAATTACACATCAGTGTCACACGAGTTAGATGACCATGTGTATTACACTGGACACCGGCTACAGTAGAGCATCCGCCATTTGCATGAGTGTCAAGGTCACAGACGCTGTATTTACTTCTAGAGGTCACCGGCAGGTCGGTTACAATGCACTGTTAAAGAACGAAACTATATAAAGTAATGTCGCCGTGTTGTTGGTATAACGTGTTACACTAGAGGAGTTATGTAAACAAACCATTTGACTTTAGCTAAAGTCAGCTAAAGAGGCTATGAGCTAAAAATAACTCAGGTGTAAACCAAAACAGAGACGAGGCTTGGCCTTAGAAGTGAAGAAGAGATTTGCATGATTAGAGTTCACCATGTTAATGAAAGGTGAATTTCCATTATGTCACGTTTAACTGATGTGAAAGGAGTGGGCTATGACTTTTAAGACAATGCGCTAAGGTAGAATGGGGAAGGGCCGGTGTGTAAGAAATGTGATGTAGCATAGATATTACTATGATAAAAAAAAGATAAGAAACATGTTAATCATCGTATAAATTACTGTTGTTGAATAGAATACTTAAAACTATATGACAGAAGATGTAAAGATGGTCTCTTCTGTGGTTGTTGTTGTTTTTAAATGTTGCGTTAGATTTATTTTATGGAAAAGGGTGTGTTATTTGATATTACGGATGTGTCGACAGAAATGTTAGGTTACGTTATGTGTATGTGCAGTAGTGTACTGGGCCGCCGGTCTAATCCTGGTAGGCCCCAATGGAAAAAAAATCTCGGTGGGCCCCCATGAATGGTGCTGGACTAGTCCTATTCGTGTTTTGATTTTTTTTAATTTAATGTTGGTATTTTAATATTTTGCCTTTCCTTCATACCAAAGCAAAAAATTCTGACTTTGGCGGAGAGCAAAAAACAAGAAAATATCTATCTGGGGTTAGGGGCCTGTTTTAATTATATATATATATATATATATATATATATATATATATATATATATATATATATATATATATATATATATATATATATATATATATATATATATATATCCCTCTTGGACACAGCCAGTCTACATCGTGTAGGGCCTATCTATGTGGCCGAGACTGCCAGTCTACACCGTGTAGGGCCTATCTATGTGGCCGAGACTGTCACATTTTTTGTGTTCTATATTAAGTACACGATCACTTCTGTCTTGTGATATTGTCATGAACAAGCGGGTCCGGCTGATCCACGCAAACATTTTTTTTCACAAAAATTGAACTGAACGGAGATTTATAACATTTTCTTTAGTGAGCTCGGACATAATTTATACGACCTATCTATATGATGTTATAAATATATAACAGACCACTATATAATGAGCTGAGGGTTTTATTTTATTTTTATAACTCATTTAAACAAAATCGCTTGTTACATCTTCATTACAAATATAATTGTTAAAGCATTACAGTGTACTACTTTAAATAAAATCAAAAGTACTGATCCATAGCATTGCTCTAATCCAGTGGCGTAGCGAGGTAGAGTGTCACCCGGTGCGGCACTTAATGGTGTCACCCCCCCCCCCCCCAGAGGCATAGAGACCCTTCCCAGGGACAAATTTTCAAATTTTCGATTTGCACCCGCCCCCCCCCCCCTTAAGTTTTCGATTTGCACCCCCCCCCCCCCCCTCGAGTTTTTCTCTATATATTTTGCTATTTTTTGCCTTGGTGTCACCCCCCTAAATGGTGTCACCCGGTGCGGTCCGCACCCCCCGCCCCCCCCCCCCCTCGCTACGCCCCTGCTCTAATCTACCCCTAACACATGTAAGAATATAACCCAACGATAACCCATCCCTGCCACTTTGCCCACGAACCTATACTGCTGGCAGTGTTACTGTTATCTACTGAACTTCAGCCCTTCTCGGTAAACCCCGTGTGTGAAACAGAAACAAGCCTACAGTGGGAATTCCCGAAAGTTGTATATTATCACTCATGAAATGTCCTTAGCCGACATAGTTGGCTCTAGAACGTGTTTACAAATATAGACTTCCCTGTTGCCATTTTGTTTTTATTTACATGCCTAAGAGTACAAAGAAAGCATTTTAAACAGGCGGCGTGATGGGGTAACGTGTCTGAACATAATCTTTGCATTAAACCAATGCTGGCTGGTGGGTGAAACTGATGTGACTACAGCATGTATTGCCGGGGGCGACCTTGTGGTGGGCTGTTTGAGCATGTTTATCTTTTTCATGTCATGCATACTCTCTCACTCAGGTTTTTAATAACGGAGAGCTTCGCATGGCGTTTTGATGTGGATCCCCTAACTATGTCATGCATTAACCAAGAACCCCATCTAATAAGCTAGAATTAAAAACAGATCACTTTTAAAAAATCGGACTGTTTTAATTAGATATAACGGTTTTCACACACATACACAAACACCACTCCGCGAAGGTTGCATATCGAGGTATCGGGGCTTCAATGTTTAGTGCAAGCAGATAGATATTCAGAGACCAGCTTTGTGCTCAAGCCAATCTCCATCTGGTTTAGACCCTACCCTGCCTATGTCAGCCATAATAACATGCTCGTATGATACAGGCGAGCCGGGATTAAGACTAGGATTAGTGGATATACAGAGACCGTGTTTTTTCAGGGATTTAGAAATAAAAAGGGCTCGTGTCGAGAATCCCACTTTTACAATAGCTGCCAAGTGTGAAAATTGCATGCATGCAACATGCGGGAAGAAGCCTAGCACACCAACTAAGATAGCACATGGCTAGGCCCAGAAACGTGAAACATAACCCATATGAGTGTACAAAGTTAGCCCTATGTAATCATAATCGTGATGAAAGACTCATAACTTATTACACTGCAATTGTCGGGTTCACTGTACCCCAGACTATACAATTATTACCTACGCCCCTCCCCTCCCCCCTCCAATACATATAAACCAGCGGTAATCAACAGATCGAACCGTCGCCTGATCTATCTGATCGATACTCCCCCTCAGCTGACTGCGATGAGAAATCAATAGCACCAGGCCCTGGGTGTGTATCGGCAACCCTTAGACCAGATGGCCAAAGTTTTGTGCTATGTGAGTTGCCACACCAGACTGGCCAAAGTTTAGTGCTATGTGAAAGGATATTAAACGGCAATTTAAAAGTGATTCACCGAACTTCAGTGCTATCTACATTCTCTTACATTTCTGAAAAAAAATTCTTTGTTCAAACACATAAAAAGGATATAATATCATAGCTTAAGCCTTCAATACAACGTCTTACGAATAACCGATATCTTCTAATACTCATTTATTGGAGTACCTTAACAAGCAATCTATCAACATAATTTCAACACTCTCTGGTTACAGAGTTAAAAAGTAGGTGATTACATTTCTGTCTCACACCGGTGAATTGGACAAGACACTGCTATGCAATGGTAAGAATACTTTCTTTATTTAGTCAAAGATTGTAACACTGTGGGTTCGTATCTCTACGGCCTGTTTAATTATCAACCCTGTTCATTGGCCCAGACTGTGTTTAACTGCATTCAGT